GGCCGGTCAAGGTGGACGGGGGGACTATCAAGGTTTTGTAAACAAACGAAACGAACTGTTTACGCAAGGTGGTTGTTTGTTATGGGGTGATCGGGTGGTAGTGCCAACGAAACTACGAACGAGGGTCTTAGAATTGCTGCACGAAGGGCATCCGGGCATTGTCAGAATGAAAAGTTTAGCCCACAGTTACGTATGGTGGCCCAACATGGACCAAGTCATCTCTGAGTGGGTGGGGAAGTGCAGACCCTGCCAGGAGTCTCGGCCCGATCCCCCGGTAGCACCCATCCGAGAGTGGGAGAAACCAAAAGGGCCATGGGGGAGGATCCATATTGATTTTGCTGGCCCCTTCCATGGGCAAACGTTTTTAATTGTAGTAGATGCCTTTTCGAAATGGCTTGAAATCATTCTAATGCCCTCTACCACAGCCGAGGCTGTTATTAAAGCCCTTCGCAAGCTGTTTGCCACACATGGCCTACCGGATACCCTAGTATCTGACAACGGGCCTCAGTTCACAGCAACCCTGTTCGAGGGATACTTGGCCGGACTGGGCATCCGCCATGCCCTATCGGCCCCGTTCCACCTGGCTTCTAACGGATTGGCCGAACGTTTTGTAAGAACGGCCAAAGAGGCCCTATCCAGACTAGATAACGGGGACTGGCAGGCCAGGATAGATCAATTCTTAGCTGTCCAGCATGCCACACCATGCACAGCCACAGGGAGAAGCCCAGCAGAGCTCCTCATGGGCAGGAAGCTCCGGTGCGTGTTAGATAGGCTTCACCCCAACTATTCGCACGAAAATTTCAAGGGAGAGACCTCCGGACTAAGACAGTTTCAGGTTGGATCCCCGGTGTTCGCTCGCAACTATGCCAGCGGACCTCTATGGGTTGCAGGAACCATAGTGGGCATAACGGGCCCGAAATCTTATACGGTAGATGTAGGGGTAGACAGACTCTGGAAGCGCCACATAGACCAGCTGAGAAAAAGGGTAGTCGGCGAAGCAAACATAAATTTAGACATATCCGAGCCTAACTACAACAACTTTCCCAAAACAGCTAACTCAAGCCCGGGTTCACGAGAATACTTAGCTGACAAGCCCTGGTTCCAGCGCCGCCCCAGCGAGTCGCCACTCCCAACCGGGGATAACCACGCCCCGGACAAAATCCAGGAGGTTCCATTGGCGGAGCCGGGAGAGACAGAAAGTCCCTCCGACCAGCTCGATGCCCCACCAAACACTGAACTGCGCAGGTCAACTAGGACGAGAACTCGCCCTGGGCACCTGCGAGATTTTGTGTGTACTTATGTAAATTTTTGAATGACAGTGCCTTCTGGGAAGGGAGGGGTGTTATGTATTGATACTTTTGAGCGGGAGTTTCAAACCTGCCTACGTTTCTGATTGGCTGACAGTCCCTCCAGGATTGTATATAAGGAGGGCTGCAGCCTCTGAGTTTTTGCTGAAGTCTCACTGTAAATTAAAGAGCTGTTGTCACTTGCTTGGTTGTGCCTCTCGTTATTCCCGAACCACTTCAGGGCTGACTTCACATTGGGAGGCAAGATGTTCCACAGACCAGGTGCAATGGCAGAGAAGATCCTTAGGCTGGATCCCGCCCACCAGAGTAGTCAGACTGATGGGACCCGCAGCATGCCTACTCTGCTAGCATTTTAGTTTATATATTGAAAGTTGCTCTAAAAACATAGATACTGTATAGCCCACAATTTTAAATAACACACATAAAGCCTGGCTGAAGGAATTGACTTTACAGAAACTGTTTTTCAACTGCCACTGTTTCTTCACTGCCATGTTTTAATTATCAGCATTAAAACATAAAACATAGAATAATTAGTTGGCAGAGAGCTTGGAGGACTTCTAGTCCAACCTCCTGCCCATGGCAGGAGATCCTATATCATTCTTATTTTCTTTGGGCTTGATGGGATGGATACACATGATCATAGAAAGAATAACAAAATAGAAAAATAGAGTTGGAAGGGACACTGGAGATCCTCCCAGTTCAACCCTACACTCAGAAAGGAGGCCCTATACCATGTCAAACAAGTAGCTGTCTAGTCTCTTCTTAAAAACCGCCAGTGATGGAGCACTCACAATTTCTGGAGGCAAGTCGTTCCACTAATTAATTGTTCTTATTGTCAGGAAATTTCTCCTTAGTTCTAGGTTGCTTCTTTCCTTGATTAGTTTCCATCCATTGCTTCTCGTCTTGCCTTCTGCTGCTTTGGAAAATAGGTTGACCCCCTCTTCTTTGTAGCAGCCCATCAAATATTGGAAGACCGATAGCATGTCACACTAGTCTTTATTTTTAATATACTAGACATACAGAATTACTGCATCCATTCTTTATATGTTTTAGTCTCCAGCCCCCTAATCATCTTTGTTGTTCTTCTCTGCACTCTTTTTAGAGTCTCAACATCTTTTTTATATTGTGGCAACGAAAACTGGATGCAATATTCCACGTATGGTCTTATAAAGGCATTACAAAGTGGTACTAACACTTTCTGTGATCCTGATTCTATCCCTCTATTAATGCAGCCTAGGATTGCATTATCTTTTTTGGTGGCTGCAGCACACTGTTGGCTCATATATTAAGTGGTCGTCCAGTAGGACTCCTAGATCTCTCTCACAGTTACTGCTGTTGAGCCAAGTTCCATCTATTCTATACCTGTGCATTTGTTTTTTCTTGCTTAAGAAAAACAGCATTTCTCACCATTGAATTTCATTTTGTTAGATAGAGTCCAGTGTTCAAGTCTGTCAAGAGCCTTTTAATCTTGAGCCTATCTTCTGGGGCATTGACTATTCCTGCCAGCTTGGTGCTGTCTACAGTTCCTCTTCTGTCCCCTCATCTGAATTGTTTTTGAAGATGTTGAAGAGTACTAGGCTTAAGACAGAACCTTGGACTGCCCCACTGCTTACTTCCCTCCATTTAGATGTAGGACTACATATTGAGTGTGATTTGTCAGACAGTTACAAATCCATCTGGTGGTGTTGCTATCTATCCCACATTTTGGTAACTTACCAAGAAATAGGTTGTGATCTATTTTGTCAAATGCCTTATTGAAATTTATATATATTTTGGCCACAAAATTTCACTACTTCACTAATTTAGTCCCTTTGTCAAAGAATGACATGATCTCTTTTTGACAAACCCATGTTGGCTTCTGGTTATAACTTTGCTTGCTATTCACAGATCTTGATTATCTTTTCCAGGCTCTTCCCAGGCATTGATGTCAGGCTGATTGATCTGTAGTTTTATGGATCCATTTTTTTTAAAGATGAAAACTGTGTTGGCTCTTTTCCAGTCCTCTGATAGTTTCCCAGTGCTCCAGGTTCTTTGAAAGATATGGTTCAGTGGTTCCGAGATCATGTCTGCCAGTTCCTTCAGAACTCTGAGATGTAATCCATCTGGTCCTTAGAGGCTAATCAGAGAGTAGAAGAGATGATATTTAATTGGCAATAAAAGTTATTATGGTACATAGATATTATTTAGCATTACATTCTTTCTCCATGAAGGGAATCAGTCTGAGTGAGGTTTGAAATATTATTCATTATACCCATTCCAATCTCTGGTGTGTTGGATAGTAAATTAGTTCTGATATACTTTTATAAGGGGACTCCTCATGGATATCTAGGTTTGTTTTCAGTTTTTACATTGGTGGTAAGCTTTAATGGAATGACTGAGTATCATGTAATTATGCTGGATGCTATATATGGCTCTTCTCTTTCCTTCCTGCTTTTTACATAGAATATGTTACTACATGGAGGACCATCAATATTGTTTGGGATTTTTTTTTTTAATTTTGGCTGAAGCTTTAGAGATGTTTGAGCTAATGCCATACTACAGCTATATGCTTGGCTTTAAAATGTAGAATTAACACACTTTCCTTGGTGGTTCAAGTATTGCTCCAAATCAATTCCATCTAATTATCACTGGTTGTCTAACGCTTGTCTAAACAGATACTAAAAAAGGAACTACTTTTTTTAAAAAAAAAATTAGAATATTTTAATACTTGTATATGATAACATACTTCAAAACAAAAAAAGTTCATAAAAGTTACAAGAATTACATAATACTACACACACACACACACAAACACATAACAGGTATATATAATATGTGTGTGTGTGTGTATGTTTTCATAGATTTTCACGGGTAGAGGTGTAGACGAAATACAACCACCATCCAGAAGCCAGACCATGGCGGCATCACCAGCTGCTGCACCCCCCTCCGATCTCCACACAAAGCAAACTGACACACGCCATGAACACATGGCAAGACCTCAAACTTGGAGCCAAACCAAAGCCCGGGATGTGGCATCACAGCCATCTGCTCAGGACATTACATCAAATAACTCAGGATATCACAACACTAGAACTCAGGATGTTAATACACAGCCCATTACCCAGGTCATTAAAACACAAAAGACTAATGGGCACACATCAAGAACCTCACCCACACAGGATGTTACGAAACAGCTGACTAATCTGCAAACATCAACTCCATCAACCAATCAAGATGTAACAACACAGGCAACCAACCTGCTCACAGCAACAAAGCCAGCAGTATTTATAGAGAGACAGCAGCTCTGATCACGCTTTCCTCGCACAAGCACGAAGCCAAAGACACCAGTCTGAAGATGACGAGTGGGACCTCATCGAAACGTCACCAAGATACTATTAATCTTACACAGGAAAAGACCCGAATACACCAAAACCATACATACATACACATACACATAAACACACATACATTGCATTTTTTATATTGTGTATATGCACCACAACTATTTGGAGGACAGACCAAAAAGAGGAATTCAGTCAGTGTGTGACAACTCTCAGATCAAATCTCTTTTCACCATGAACCCTCCCTTCTCCATTCCTTTGGTGTTTTTTTTTTTTCACTTTCTTTCCTTCCTATTATGTATGTTTAATGACATCCTGACACTTTCATCAGTGTGTGCCTTTTCCTTCCCTTTTTCCTTCACAACTGTTCCAGACTGATCGCATAAATCCAGATGACATAGATTTAGAAAATGAACCCTGGTATAAATTCTTTTCAGAACTGGAGTTTGGACGTCCGGTAAGTGAGGCAAGAATATATCAGTTTTAGGGATTTAGACCAATTCGCACATTTCTAGTAAAAAAATGCCTAGATCCTGAAAATGCATCTATTCAAAATGGAATAATTACTACAATTGTATTTGAAGTATATGTTTATATATTTATATATGCAGTTATCATATATAAATTTAATTGGTGAGGCGGAGAGAAACCTATAGGAATGCTTAAGAATAATCAATAAAGTGGATTCCTAATAAACCCCTTTTCACATGTTTGCTGACAGAGTTTTTTAAGTTGACAAGAAACTGATAATAATTAATTATTTGGATTCAGTAAGTGTTCAAGCTTTTTCACAAAAAGTTAGACAAATGCAACTTGTATTATTAGCTTCATTTAATTTAGATTTAATAGAATAATTATTACTATAAAGCACAAAGTTATATGGAGCAAAAACATTGAAAGAGAATAAATACTGGTATTCCCTAATTGAAAAGAAACTTTTTTTCTGTATTATCAAGCATCAGCTGTCTGCTTTGGCTATTTTTCTAAATATAAATAGAATATACCACCTGCAGATTTTGCAGCCTCCACAATCATTTGGAATACAACTGCCTTCTGCTTCTGGGATGGCGTTGCTGTTATGAGGTGTGCAGGAAACTATTAGCACCACTAATGTGTAAGTTTTTGATGGAAGTTAATCATAAGCTGCCCAGGTTTGAGGACAAAACTGTGAAACAGCACAGCTGCTAGAAGGCTAAGACAGTTCTGCATATCAGAATTTGTCCCAAACTGAACTTAGGTGCTCCTCAGTTTTCTGGAGGAAGCCATAAAACCAGCTTTTTTTCCAGTAATTTCCAAAATAACATTTACAATAGCCAGGCTATCTTGGATTCGGAAAGTTGTGGAATTTCTTCTTGTGATTCATAATCATAACACAAGAGAAGCCCTCCATCATCCTTCAATGTTTTTCATCTGTCACCAAACTATGTGAATAATACAAGAATCTCACAAAAATTTAGCTTTCTTGATTTTAAAGAAAAAAAATTCAATCAGAACAACACTAAAAGTTATGAAAGCTCATTTGAGAACCCTACCAAAAGAAATAAATTCCTGTTTTTCACAAATGACAGACAATTGAAGAGGCATTAATGACTTTCGACAACGTCGTTGTTAATTGTCCACCAGAGACCTTATTTCCCAAAACTGCTGCTTCCTCTGTAGCAGTGGTGTTAAACTCGTGGCCTGCGGGCCAGATGCGTCATGTGCTGGCCACACCCATGCCCGGTTTAGTGAAGGGGGAAAAAGTCACGATACGTGACGTGATGATGCTGAGGACACGAGTTTGACACCCCTGCTCTGCAACAACCATCTCAGTGCAACCTGGGAAGACCAACCTAGACATTATGGTAAATTCAGCCTCTACTGGAAATCAAAGCAATGTTCTGCCTTGCACTTTTCTTTCTTTTACAATTACAAATCTATCCCTGCCCCCTTCGTATAAATAGCTTCTGTCCATTTACTTTGGCTTCTGGATCTCAGTGTATTTTGGACCCTAAATCTCTCTGTGTAACAATTTGCTATATTGAAGCAACTTTATTTTCTAGCAGCCTAACCTAAATATACTAGTACTTTTTCTGATCTTAAAGAGAGCTGTTTATTACAGTTCGTTCTGTGATCTTGAATACAATCCATCATGAGCGCTTTCATTCCAGAGCCAACATCTGTTCAAGTCTAACCCAGTGAAGAAGACAATCAGAATAGCAAAGCTTGGATTGTATCCATAATTTTACAGAAAGCACTTAGCTTCACTGAAAACACAGCAGAACCTCAAACAGGAACAAGTGTATTATATTCTCTCTTTTTTCATCCCATCATTCTTCCATCTTTCCCAATTTAATGCTACTGAATTTGGGAGAGTTATGTTTTCGTTTAGCTTTTTAACTTCAGCTTTACTAACAACAGTGGAAAGTTTATTAAAACGATTAGCTACTATCACATATTCTTTACCCCCGACTGATCCTCTCATTTTGTTGCATTTTTACCACTCTTGTAATCTGTCAACACTCAGTTTCTAACTATGTCACCTTCTCCACATGTTTCATTCCTTGCTGCCATTGATTCTTCTCCATTTCATCTCGCAATTCTACCTATATGATGCAGCCTCCTAAAAAGCTTTTGGATTATGTTCAAGACAATCCTCCAGGTCTTTCCAAAGAGGTAAATCAGCATGTTTCTTCAATGGATGGTTAAAATTTGGGGACAACATAAATATTGAATTTTCTCTTATTTAATTACAGGACATTCTGTTCACCTGCATATTATCCTACAAAAATCATTCCAGTGATACAATTATAACTTCTTTCTTTTTTCTAGTGTATTAACACACACAAATGTCCAGCTACAATCCCATAAATATGAAATATCTTTCAATGAAAATATCCTAGCAATGCTTTCCTTATTTTATTTGTTTACAAAAAGTACATTATCATCTCATATAATAGTCGTAGATAGTTCACAATAATCAATACAAACAAGGATGAAACCAAATTTATCTTTTCCCAGGCACCAAACCAAACTCCAAGCTCAATCCAGCTAATCACAAGGCAACACTTTTTAACAGAAAGAATATGTCAATTGCCTTGCTGAACAAGACAATTTGGGATCAAAAAAATCTCATTCCAGTAACCATTTAACAATAAATATTGCTGCTGCACTAGGAAATGGGAAATGGGAGGAAAATGATGAATGATAGTTATTATTCTGACTTTTGCTATTTGAATAAAATCCTGCACTAGAACATTAGAAAGACATGAATTTAAGGTATCATGTTAAGTGAACTCATTAATCACTGTACATTTCAGGTGTTGAAATTGAAGTGTATAAACTATATACAGTAATCTGTGGGAAATTAGGAGAGTAAATTACTAATTCAAAAAATGCTTAATAATGGTTTAGATCCAAAATTCATATAACCAGACAAGAGTTAAGAATTTTAAAGTAATAGTAAAATAAAATGGATTGTGCAAACTTTTATTTCTTGTTTATTGTTAATTATTTATTGTGGGTTACTCCCCATTCTTCTCCCTGGCAATCTTGTTTCAGTTTTTTTATATTGTTATTTTTGACCTAAGCCTCCAAGAATTATCCTGAATAGTCATTGAAATAAAAAAAAAACCCTCAATAAATAGTTCAAAAACATTGCATCTACAAAAAATAAAAACGTACCGGTATTTAGATTCTGAACATCTGAACAAAGAAGATAGCATTTCTCAAATCTTCTTGGTTTTTTTTTAAAGTTTAGGTGCTTTGATTATTATGAATGTTGATCTTTCTGGCATCAGTTGAACATATTCTCCTTAAAAACTCAACTTTCTTAAAGCAGCAGAAACCAAATCTGTTTTCTATAATAGTGTTACACAGTTTCCTTTTGCTTACCAAGAAGTGAAAATAATAGATATATCTGTAGAATTACGTATATTTAGATAATGAGAAGCTCTTAAGCCATATTGGCCTTTTTTCAATGTTACTTCCTTGTAAACTATGTTCTTTAGGCTCTCCAACTGCATGTCTGTAATTAATTAACAGAGCATAATGTGTATCTTTATTGAGTAGTTGAGAGAATTAAGAGCAACTTTCAGAATATATCTTGCTGCTATTTCCTGTCCATCAAAATTTGCAACCTGATGATGCCGACTCTCTCTGCCTAAAGCCAATACTTTCTACTGGGTGTCCCTCAAGCAAGAGATTGTCATGAAGATTTCCAAGACGCTGGTGTTAGTACAATAGGGCAATAGGGGAAAATGATGACTTTCCATTTCTATCCCATTTAATACAAGCTTTTATCCTATGGAGTCTTTATGTAAACTGCAGTCTTCAAACAATGAAGATTCTCTATATTAACAGGTCTACTAATATGCATAATAGTCTTTTTAATAAAAGTACTAAGTTGAGATTCATGAGTTCAGTCTTCTTAAAGGTTTGTGTCCAAATTCTTTAATAGTTGATTCTGCCTTATAAAAGGTTTATTATATATATTATATATTTCTGAAATCCCAGTCTGGCCTGAATACTACAATTTGAATACAGAATTACATTTTCATACAGGTGTTCCTCAGCTTACAATCACGATTGGGACCAGAATTTTTGTTGCTAAGTGATGCTAAGGAAGTCATCATCTGATTGCACCCAATTTTAAAATGTTTTTTGCTGCAAATGTGAAACAAATCACCATGGTTGTGAAGCAAATCATGCAGTCATTAAATGAATTTAGTTTCCCCCATTGACTTTCCTTGTTGTAAGCCCAGGATGCTGCAACTGTTATAAGCCGCCAAGGGTTGTTGTATTAGTGAAATGGGCAGCATAGAAATTTAATAAATAAATCTGGTTGCCAAACGCCCGAATTGTGATTATGTGAATTTGGGAATGCTGTGATGGTCATATGTGTGAAGACCGGTTACAAGTCACTTTTTTCAGAGCTGTCAGAAGTTTGAATGATCACTAAACAAATGGTCATAGGTTGAGGACAATCTGTGTACTTCTTCTACAGATACAATTTGCAGAGTAATGCTGAGTAAAGTTAGGCAAAGGATATTGCCACTTCAGCTGGCAGAGGTTACACTGCAAGCTCCTAAGCTTTCCTTTTTAACATCCTTAAACTTGCCTGCCTTAGATGCAATAGTGGACATTCTCCTAACCCAAGCAAAGAAGTAACATTTGTCAGTCTACACTACCTCTATAGGTAATATCATACTAAAATCACCTTTGCCTCACTAAAATGACTTAAACCACCCCAAGAAGAAATAACATTTGATGAGAAATTAAATTATAATTAGGTTAAGGGTTTGTTTTCAAATATCAAGATGGGTTCTTTTAACTAGGAAAGACCTGTAACTCAGTTCTAGAGTGTAAGTTTTGTATTAAGAAGTTTAATTCTTGGCTCCTCCAGTTAGTAACAGCAGGTAACACATGATGGGATGGGAGGCAGCCTGGAGGATTATTGTTAGCTCCAGAGAACAAGAACACGATACAGTTCAGCAACTCTCAAAGTAAAATTCTAGTATTTTTCTGCATAAATGCAATGTAACACTGGTTAGGGGTTGTAATGCAATTTAAAGCAATGTTTTTATATATTTTTCCCACAAGGCTTTTGCTTTTCTAAAAAGATCAATAGTTCAGAGTATGTAATTGCAATTGCAGTTTCTCAAATTGTCTCTGAAATTACATGAAAAATATATGTACCATTAATTAGACAGATGGTTTATGTATTTGATAAGCTGTACCTGGGATAGGGTTCTTCTTTTCCCAACTCTTGCTGGTTATACTGTACAGGTAGTCATCCTTTAACAGTGATAATTAGGATCAGCAGCTCCATCACGAAGCAATATTGTAAAGTGACATCACATGACTGCTGCAACTTACAATGGCATTTAGGGCAGTTCCAGTTAAACAAATCCCGCATGGTCCTTAGGTGTGACTTAGTCCTCCTGCTGGCTTCTCTGTTGACTTTGTTTGTTGAAACCTGACGGTGAAGGTCACAAATGATGATCATGTGACCGTAGGATACTGTGAATGTTGTAATTATGAGTCAGGTGCCAAGACCCAATTGCCGGATCACAATTACATGAATGTAGGGATGCTGCTGGAGAAGACTCCTGTGAGTCCCTTGAACTGCAAAACTATCAAACCGGTCAGTCCTAGAGGAGATCAACCCTGACTGCTCTTTAGAAGGCCAGATCCTGAAGATGAAACTCAAATACTTTGGCCACCTAATGAGAAGGAAGGACTCACTGGAGAAGAACCTAATGCTGGGAACAATTGAGGGCAAAAGAAGAAAGGGACGACAGAGAATGAGGTGGCTGGATGGAGTCACTGAAGCAGTTGGCGTGAGCTTAAATGTACTCTGAGGAATGGTAGAGGACAGGAAGGCCTGGAGGAACGTTGTCCATGGGGTCACAATGGGTCGGACATGACTTTGTGACTAACAACAAGGGATGCTGCAGCAGCCGCAACCACCGGGACCAGTCATAAGTCCCTTCATTTCACCATAACTGTGAAAAGTTGCTGAATGAGTGGTCATTAAGCAAGGACTATGTGTAATAATATATGTGGCTATTTCCAGCTCAAGCCTTAACATCTGCTAAAATACCAGATTAAAAATTGTTGTTATTAAGGATTGAATTTATATTGACAAATTTAAACTATTTGTATTCTCAAATAATCCTTTTAATTTTACTCCTGTGCCAAAACAAAATCTTTAAGTCTGGAGACCAAACTGTGTGCTTAATGTGAAGTTTAAAAAGTCAACAAATGGCAATGTATGCTATACAGGTTTAAACTGTGTTTACAGATAATTCCCACCTTGATTTGATTTTAATATTGTGAAAAGTAATACCTCATGATTTTTTTTCATTGCTATAGTTTCCAATATTTAGTCAATATAAGGATATAAGGTTTAATTTGAGAAACTGGGTGAAAAAAATTCTGAAGACATTAGCTCCAGTATCAAAAGCAGCATTTGAAATTAGTTTAAAGGCTACCCAACTTTTAATTACATAGTTAATACTAATGATTGTGAGAGTCTTCAATCAATCAATATTTTTTGTTGTAAATATTTTTGAAATTCAAATTAAGATGCTTGCTTATTTCTGCAGACATCTTTATACTACAATCCAGCAGACAGACGTGTGGATAGACCTTCTAGGTAAGAGAAATCAAATATATAAATACAAGTAGAAAGAAAAAGTCTCCTTCAACAGTTCTTACATTATATGCTTGGATTTTTTTTGTACAGAAAGATAATTCCATATCCCTTTTTAGGTTAAGCACAGTATAGATCGAAGTTTTCCTGCAAGCATTCTCATTTTATACAGCTCCCGTAACTTCCTTGTGTCATTTTCTCTTTGAATTAAGCATAATTTATCTGTATGCGCTACAGCTCTATTTCTCAACCTTATCAACTTCCAGAGATGTAGATTTCGACTCCCCAAATTCCCCAACCAGCAGACTTAAGGTGGCCATGGTTGAGAAACACTGTGCTTCAGGATAAGATTTCTGTGATCATCTTGTATCCTTTGCTATTTTCATAAGATTCTTTTTGTAAAGGCATGTGATGATTGAATGACAAGATAGCATAGCAACACAGTGTACATCTTCCCATTTATATTTCAGAGAGAGGAGGAGACTTGGGAACCATAGAGTGAAGGACCTGGGTTCTGGGAGGAAAAGTCTATCTGTAAAATACTAGTGTTATGGATATAATTAGAGCTATGAACGATAAATATTAACAAACTATAGATAGATTATAACTGCTTCACTTCGTATTGCAATGTATCTTAAGTAATTTAGTAAAACTTAATTTGCTTCTTTGTGTAAATATGTCATCATATATCTTCTCCACATCCTACCTAGTCATTCAAAACTAAAACAAAAAAGCAAACTTTCTCAACCAGCAGAGATGGTAGTACAGTAGTAAGAATTTATGGTCAATGTAATATCCCAGGCTTTGGAAATGTAAAACTAGAAATAAAAGGCTACAATTATACCTATTAATTATGATGGTTATGTATTCATATGAACTTGAATGCAACTAAATGTTATTAATCCAGATATATATTTTGATGTAGCCTTTCTCAACCTCATCTTGCAAATATGTTGGGATTATAAATCACAATTCTGGGAATCTTGGTCTTTACATTTATGCACATATAGAGGGGCCACATTGGAAGAGAGTGTTTTGAGGTGTAAAGTAAAATATGATAACAATTAGAAATCCTAAGAATCAGTCCAAGAATGTTCTTATCTCTGCAGTGCAAACAGGAAGGAAGGAAGGAAGGAGTATATGTAGTTGTAGAAAAAAAACATGTCACACTTTGGACGTGTTATTTTTCTACAAACACATATCCATCTTGACCTAAAGCAGACAGAAATCCATAAATACAGTTTAAGAAGATATTATTCTTCCATCTTTCTCAAATGCCATAATATTTTTTCACTCTGACAGAGTAAAGAGTAGAATAGAACTTCTTCTACATATAAAATGCCATTTATCTCTGCTTTTAATGATCAATTATTTTTATATTGGTCTGATTGAAATGATTTTCTAGTGTTGCTTTGAAATAAATTATTATATATACCAATTTTAAATGTTTTATATGTACCATTTTTATTTTAAACAGTGGCTTAAAACATTTTAAATAACCAAACAGGATAGCTAAACTATGGAGTCCTTCATTTTCTGTCTCAACATAGCTTTGTCTCAGAATTTTGTTACCCTTCTACCCTTATTATTTATAAATAATATTGCAGCAGAACAAATGTTGCATTTTTTATATTCTTGAACGGATGTTGTAGTTTTGGAAATTGTAGAGAAGATTTCCAGGTGGACATGAATAAGAAATCAATATACATTACTTGGCCTTCTCATAAGGAAAGCAAATAATAGAACCTTACCTTTCCCTTCATCCCAAAGAATTTTACAAACGTATTGGGGGCAATATGCTAACTCTATAAACCACTTAGGACTATAAAGCATTATGAAATGGTATGTAAGATTAAGTGCTATTGCTATTGTTATTGCCGCGCAATGGGGTGAGCTCCTGTTCCTTGCCCCAGCTCCTGCCTACCTAGCAGTTCAAAAGCATGCAAATGTGAGTAGATTAATAGGTACCACTTTGGTAAAAAGGTAACAGCATTCAGTGCACCTTTGCTATATAGCCATGCTGGCCACATGACCACAGAAAATGTATTTGGACAATGCTGGCTCCATCAGCTAAGAAGTGGAGATAAACTCCGCAACCTAGAGTCAGACATGATTGCATAGGGAAGCCTTTGGCTTTTTATTGGTACTGTATTTAGTTATGTTAGCAATGGCTAATGAGCTTAATTATTTGTTGACTTCTAAGGAGACATTTTAGACATGTCTTGCTACATTATTGTTTTCTTCCCCAGTTCTGCAAGTACTTCAAGTGATTACAGAAAACGAAGGAAGTCAGAGCCTGCAGTAACTCAGCAAAAAGTCCACACTGATCAGAATGTAAATCGATACACTCTTGCTCGTACGGATACACAGAGCACCTATTCAACCCTTAGGAAGCCTGTTACCACCTCTTCTCCATCGTCTCCATCAAGAGCAAAAGGTAATAAAAGCACAAGGTTAAATAAACAGAAATTCATGAATTCCAAAACAATATGGATGAATTTCAAATTCTACTAAACAATCAAAATTCACCAATCCAATTTGCATGGAAGGAATAAAAATCTAGTATTTATATTCATATTAATCTCCTAATCTGATATGTCAGCAAGTCATCATATGAAGACTTTTGTAGCTTTTTCTTTTTTAAAAAGAAAGCCGATTAAAATCTTTTTTAAAAAAACTTTAAAGTTGATTCACCAGACAAGGAAAAGACAGGGATTGAGGCCATTTTCTTCCCAAATATAATATTATCTTCTAAAATGTGATTGTCATGCATCACTAATCAAGATATAAATCACAAACATAAATGTATCTAAAGGAAATGCAGTCTGAATATCTCTTAATGTTCGATAAATGAATTATACCTTTTTAATAACTGAATAGGAAAATGAATTATTGTCTTGGCAAACATTTATGGGGAGTGAACTCTTAATGCAGGCTTTCCATGTCTGCAATCAGTAAGAGCTTTTTTCTGCCATATTCCATTTCTGCAATACTTCCCCATTTCACATAAGTGCTAATGTTTCCTGTTTATTGTTATTGTACAACACCTGAAGTATTTCCTAAGATTCCCAAATGTGCAATGCCACCATAATGATTCAAAATTTTACACTGACATTTTACATTGAAAAGGCAGCCATGTACCATTTACCCAATTGGAATATGACTTTTCCCCCCCACAAATAATTATGCAGGGATGTCTGCAGGGTATAGTTTTAAAACAAACCAAGATAACAGTAACAGTGCAATTGAAGCTCCATCTAGATTTTTAGGTAGTCATGAGGCAAATCTGTCACTTAGATTTGCCTCATGACAGCTGCCATTTTGACTTTTTGGGCCAGGCATTGCGGACATCCCAGTAATTAACTGTGAGTTAGGGAAGGGATAGTAAAGATTATTTTAGAGTTGCTGAGAAAATAGACAAGACTATTGAATGTAACCAATGGGTGAAGAGTAGCCATTGGGTGGGAGGGGCTGTTTGCCTATGAAGTTAGTCTTTGTTGTAATACCTAAAAAAACTCTTATTTTTTTCTTACTATCCTTATTATGTACTTCTATTTGTCCCAATTCCATTCAGCTTTCTCCTCTCTATTCTTTTTTCCTTCCCTTCCCTTTACATAGCTATCCTTCCCTTTAACTCATTTATATTCTATCTTTTGCCTTTCCTTCCACTTTCTCCTTTTTTTTCTTCTTTGGTATTTATTTTGGAAAGAGGAAGGAAGTATAAGTATACACTCATGTAAGAGTATTTTATGGTAAAAGAAGGAACAGTTGCAATATGTATATAAAGGGTCCATTAATTTTATAAATTGGGTCTTTGGATATAATATTCAAATATAAATTTAGCTTTTTTGTTCTGGATCAGCCTTTTTTGGAGTGTAGCTTCTAGCTAATACTTATATACATATGCCTGTGTGCGTGCACACGTGTCTATGTTCAGGAATTTATATACAGATGCATAAGTGTGTTTATGTCATTTGCACACATTATTGGAGCAATCTCCAATATAGGTTTCAACCAAAGTTGACAACCCTTGGTTGAAAAAGTGGGAAAGCTTGGCATTGCACATGATTTTTGTCTCTGTATGAGTTTTTTTAAAAGAAAATCTACTCTTCTCTTGGATTATCTTCCTTTTGGGTTAAAATGGCAAGTGGTTCTTTTAATTAAAAAAATCAGTTTCACCCCTAGAGGTAGTCTGTGTCTTCCTGTGCTGCCCCGCTCACCCACACCCATACATAGATGTGCTTTAGAGAGTTTATTGATATTCCCCAGCAATTCCCTTCACACAGCCTCAGAATTATCCCAAATAAATCCAGCCAGAAGCAGGCCAAGGTTAGTCCACAAGGCAATGGCCAATAGTCCATAAAACAATGGAAAGTTGCTGCAACATATAAGTCCACCAAACAAACTTAAATCTACGAGGCCATGCTGAAATACACCCACAAGAGCTCCCTTGGCAAAAGAAGTTCAGAGTCTCCAAGGCACAAAGTCAAGCAGAAAGCACAAGAAACAAACACACACAGCCATAAACCAAACATGTTTTTCCCAGCAACGCCTCCCTCATCCTGCTGTGATAAATAGCTTTCTGGTGCAGCCCATCAAAATAAAAAAGGTGGCAATTCACTTAACAACTGCCTCCTTAGCAATGGAAATTTAGTCTTGATTGTAGTCATTAGTTGAGGAATATTTATACATACACACACACACACACACACACACACACACACATACACATACCATATTGTTAATGCCTCAATGTCCCAATATCTTCCACTAAAAATCAGGACTGTGCATTTTCTGCTTTAATGTTTATTATTTGTTAACAGGGTTTATTTGTGTAAGCGTTCCTACTTATTTATATAAAAAGTCTAAAATTTGAGGCATTTAAGATAACTTTCTTCTAATGATTATTTAATTGCATGCCAATTTAACATTTAACACATTTCTTTTAATACTTCAGGGTACAGAATTAGTAATCAGTATTAGTACTTGGTTAATATTATCTCAGTCAAGATGGGATAATTGCTTGTATATATTTGTAACATTTTCTATATTGTATTTCAGAATCTCACTGTTCAATGCTTGGGCAAATAGCAATTCTGTTTTGTTCCATTTTGCTAGAACCAATCTAATCCAGGCAATGGATTTCAGAAAGTTATGGATAAAGTGCCTTAATGTTGCATTTTCCCAAATTGACAAACTTCAGATCTGTTGAACTACAATTCCCATCATTCCCACTGGTACCAAAATTGTATTCCAGCATATCAATTCTCATTTAACTGTTTTCCCTGTAAATCCATTGATTAAAGTTTTCAGCTTAAAACCTTCCCCATTGTTCACTCTGTTACACTACAAACATTACCAATACAAGGGAATAACCAGAGGAAAAATAGAGAAAAAAAACTTGGGGGGAAGAGAGAGAGGTGGAGAAAAAGTGGAAAATCTTATTTTTAAATTGGAAAAACTGCAAAGGGGCCTAAGGTTACTGTATGCTACCAATTTCCTAAATTGTTCCAAGTTTTTCCAAGTAGGCAAATATATCTATACCTGGGCTTCTAGTGGGCTGTTTATTAATGTATAATTTGTATTTAAAGCTTTTACTCAATCAAAAAATAAACAAGAAAATGTATAAAAGGAAAGTAGAAAAAGGAAGAAGCTCAAATAAAAGATACTGGAAATAATATAGATTAAGAAAGAAAGAAAAAGAACATTTATAATGTGGCTTCCGATCTTCTATATAGTAATTACAAATGAACTTCTACTATTTCTCTCCCATTAGAGTTACATTATATAGTTCAATTTTCCCCACATTTCACCCTTTTTAATCAGCTGATCCAGAAATCACTTTTTGTTTTCATTTTGTCCATTTTCAGTAATTATTGGGCTGTTTTTTAATTTTCATTTTATTGCCTGGATTAGATTTCTGAACAGGAGGTACAGTTAATTTTTTTTTAGTTAACTTACCTTAAAGGCTGACAAAGATGATTATATATGTACACAATTTTGCAGCATGACAAGGAGACTAGGTGAGAAATGGTACCCAGTTTTCCATTTCAAAAATTTAAAGATACATACAGAAGCCTTTCTATATTAATAGTGCAATCCAAAGTTAATTTAATGATTATTGTATTTTAGGTATGCATATTATGCCATAATTGTTAACTCTATGTTAAGAAAATCAAAGTGCTTCCCCACCCCTGATTTCTTTCTGGCATGTAATAATTGTTATTTTTCTGTCTACTTTTGAATCTGTTAATTTCTGGCAATGTCTCTTTTTCACCATGCTGCTCTGTGGATTATAAAGGTGGGGATATTAGCAAAATATATTCATCCCTTTCCAGTTATTCAGTCCCCAACCAGAACACCTCAAATGATTTAGATTATGGTAAAAATTATGGGCAGCGATTAGCTGTTCCAGGTGATTCAAGAAGAGCCATCAGCTACAAGAATGGCTGGCAAATGGCCCGTCAGAATGCAGAAGTCTGGAGTAGCACCGAAGAGACTTCCTCTCCCAAACGCAAATCTCGCAGCTACGATGACCTATTAGCTGATGATCATTGTTGCTTCTCTGATACACAGAATAAATCTGAAAGCATGGTGTCTCTGTTGTGTGCAGACAATTCCAAAGGTGATTCTTCCCTTACCTGGGCTTCCCCATATTCCTCTGAAACTCATGGTTCCAATCGGTCAAGGGCACATCTTAGGTCTGCCCATGATGCTCCAGGATTCCTAAAACTGTATAAAAGAATGCACCGCATTAACCGCAAAGACTTGCTTAATTCCGAGGTGATCTGTTCTGTAAAATCCAGAGTACTACAGTATGAAAAGGAACAGCATAAGAGCTTGCTACATGGTTGGAAAGAATCCTCCACAGAGGAAGTACCAAGAGACATGGTGCCCAATAGAATATCTGAATTTGAAAAATTAATTCAGAAATCTAAATCAATGCCAAATTTAGGGGAAGAAGCATTATCAGCTGTAAGCTTCCTGGAACCCCCTAAAAATGGCTTTTGTACAATGAGACGGTTTTCTATTGAATCCTTGCTGGATGAAGAAAATCAAAATAGGTACACTGCTCAGGTGGAAAAGAATTACAAGTCCAACACTCTGGTGCCAATTCACATTGAAGTAACTAGCGAGGAACCACAAAGATCTCAGATGGACTATTCAGACAGTGACCAAGATGGAGTGGTCTCTGACATGAGTGACTTCATACAGATAGAAGGCTCATCTTTTTGTAGTGAAAGTGATTTTGATCACTTCTCCTTCACATCCTCAGAAAGCTTTTATGGATCAGGACATCACCACCATCACAAGCATCTTATCAGCTCCTGCAAAGGAAGATGTCCAGCCTCATACACACGCTTCACCACCATGCTGAAGCATGCAAGGGCTAAACAGGAAACTACCCCAGAAGACCCTAAGCGACAAGATTCCGATGCTGGCCTCTCTAAAATAGCCTTCCTAGTCAGCCCAGTGCCTTTCCGGAGGAAAAAAAACACACTCCCCAAAAAGCAGGCTGAAAAGACGAAATGCAAATCATCTGTCTTTGACGCCCTGGACTCCGCCCTTAAAGATATCTGTGACCAAATCAAAGCAGAGAAAAGAAGGGGAAGCTTGCCTGACAATAGCATATTGCACAGACTTATTTCTGAATTGCTTCCAGACATTCCTGAAAGGAATTCCTCCCTTAAAGTTTTTAGAAAAAGTCCCATACGCCAGCCTTTGCATCCACTGCCTCACGATGGTGCTATTCACTGTCCGTTGTACCAGAATGAATGCAGAAGTTTGCCTCTCAGTGCCTCTTATCAAGACATGGATGCTACCAACAGCAGCAACCAGGAATATGATAATGCACTGTGTTTCCAAGGTGGATTACTTCCTTTTCTTTATGCTTGTGTTTGAATCATTCACCCTTATCCTTTCTAGTTTGTTCCCATTACATTTGTGTTGTGCACCTTATACAGCCTAGAAATTGTCTGTTGTACAGTCAGTGATAGGAAGGGGGGGAGGGGAATCAGTTGAGGACAATAACAGTGTACAAAGTTGTGCTTTTCAGACCAGCCAACAAAAGGAAAAAGTAACCTTTTGTTATTAGCATTTGAATAGTTACTGAAATAAGAAAGCAGTGATTCATAATGGAGCTTAATATCACACAGTGAAAAAAGTCTCAATTGGTCTAAAGTTCATATCAATGATTTTTGGGAAAAGATACAAAGACTTCCTAATAAAATATATGGTCACCTGAATATAAGAAAGTACAAGGTGAAATAATAAGAAAAGACACACTTGTTTTAAAATTATTTCCATCTAAGTTCACAAAATAATTCAGCTATGTAGAAACATAATTATGGCTGAATTGAATGTTTGGCTTACTAATCTAAACGTCCATCTATGCAATGATGGTGGCAACATTAAAATCTACTAATTTTAAAATGGCTTCATTTAATATTGAGAAGGACAAGTCTTACAGGATAAAACCAAGGTAAGGAGTATTACAGTTGCAATTTCGTCTACTTAGCTAAAGTCTATGTTTCAATAAAAATAAAAATAATAACAAGCACATGATCTCCATTAATAGTATAGAATATTTAAAAATTCAACTCAGTCATGGTCTCCTCTGCACATAGCTGTATAGCTCAACTATCAGCAGCAATAGAAAGCTATGACTCCTCTGCTGCCCCTCGCATCTTCTCCAGTGAGGCAGAGATTAGAAATGTCCTCTTTTAAATGAAATTTCCCATGACGCTAAAATCAATTTCCTGTGACACTAAATTTGGGGGTAGATCTGCTTATTTTAAACCAGTTAAGAGCAACATTAAACAGTGGGTTGCTAAACAATAGTTCCAAGCTGATTCCACTGGCAATCAATATGGGGAAGTCACATATCATTAAAGTCTCATTTAAAATAAACCAGGATCAAACTATAGTTTATACTCCTAGCTTATTGGTAAATCAATACTGCTTTACACTAGCTAGAGTTCACATAGTTATCTAATACTTCATTAGCTTAAAATGAGTGTGCCAGTCTCCTTTGTCCAGGGGAAGGACAAAGAAAGAAGATGATTTTGCATTTATCATTGTTGTACGCTGTCTAGCATCACTTCTTGTGATATGGGCAGCCATATAAATTTGGTAAATAAATAAACCAACAACTAGAATTGTTGAGCAAAAATGGGTCCAGAAGCTTCTTACTCCACATAAATGTAATAAATTGATCATATTATTTAGATATCAAGGTTTAGATATATGCAGTTTCTACCATTTCTTACATGCAGTAGTAATTTCTGAGGTGAGGTATCACTAACACAAATTGCACTTGAAGCTATATTCTGGGAGTTTTTAAGTCCACACATCTTAAAGTTACCAAGTTTGAGAAATTCTGGTTTAGGGTACCATAAATACAAATAGTTATTTGAAAATAGCAAATTATTGAAATTATTGAAATTATTTCTCATCAAGGATTACTATAAAAATGAACTGTAGAACTTACAAAGCTGCTTAGAAAGTGTTAATGAATTACATTATTTTTTTCTTCACGTTAATATACTTACATAGGTATTTTCAGCTTGTCATATACTAATCTTAAATCTGTTTACTCAGTAATCAATCCACTGAATTTAATAGGCCTTTTCCCTATTTGGGATCACACTGAAAGGGTGCAATTCTATTTCATGGACACTTCTATATAAACAATTGAGTTTTGTGAGCTAGAAATATGGACTTTTAGATATCACTTAACCTCGAAAGCAGATATTTATTTTATCTGTGATTATTTTATTTAAAAAAATAGCAGCAGTGCTTCAGACTAATTGCATGGTATGCTAGAAGCTTTTATCCTTCCCTCTTTTCAGGGAAAATAGTCTCCAGGACCGTTTTTCCCAAAATTGCCCTTACAGCAAATGACATCTTTGGGAAAAGTGGCCGCAAAGAGAGCAGAAAAATAACAGCCCTGCATTCCTAATCTGGAGACCACATTTTCATATCTACTTGTTCTAAAACAAGCCCAGAATACACAGTAATGTGGCAAATGCATAATCTAACATAAAACAGTCATACATTTCTGTTCTACTGGATCACCTCAGAATTTCATTATTCCATCATTGTGGCATGCTTTTGACGCATTCCCTTGCATGTGGGTACATGTTTAATTAGCTTTATGAGTCAGTGCTATGTTTTACCTTTTGCATCTTCAGTAACTTATTCTTCTGTTCCTCAAAATCAAGAATTGTAAGAATCAGAGAAGATGCTATATTGCTGGTCTTGGTTTTTCTTTTTAATGCTTCAGGCTCAGTTTGAAATTGTATAACTAGTATATGAAATAATTTCCATAGCCTCCTTTCTAGACTTCTGTTTGTCCGTTTTTGTTTATTTGTTGTTACATTAGTTTAACTCAGATTCACAATAACATGAATTTAGATGTAGTTTCTTTTGAAATAAGCTTCCACAATTGCTTTTCATGAATTTTCATCTAATGGCATTTTACTTTCAGTAGACCAGGAATCTCCTGGAAATTATTCTTCTGCTTTCACTGATGTGAGTCGATGTATTCCAAAAGAAAGAAGAGGAACTCCAGACAGAGAGGTACTGCAAGAAAATGTACTTAAACAAACCTGTTTGAAGCCAGAAGTGTATTTCTGAAAACACCTGGAGACCTTTAAAAAGCTTTTCTTGCAAAGCTTCTTGGCAATGCTGTCTTTTATCACCTGGGGTTACAAAACAATGCAGTTGGAATAGAAAGAGAAGCAGAGCGTGGATTACTATTAGGACATTTCTGCACAAGTACCAGTTCAGGACTGGTTCCGATCCTGATTGATCTCATCTATTTTGAGCCATTGAATCCATGAATTTCTGAATTTGAAATTGCAGCAAAGCCAGTATTTCCTTTCCTTTCTTTTTTGTTCCCTGTGTTTCTGCAGCCCTTGTGGGCTTTTCACTTCCCCACTATTGAGAGGAATCATTTCATCATTTAGCAGACCTTCATTCCCTAGAGGTTTGGCATCTTGCTCTTGGGGGTTTCTTTTTCATATGTACTAATTAGAACTTGTCTTTCCCCTTTCCCTTCCTCCATTATAGTATCATGCAGCTAAGATTACAGTTGTTGGGACAAGTGATCTAAATTTCCAAGCTGCTTGTATTTTCATCTTACAGAGCTTTGAGGAGGAACAAAGGAATGGTGGCAAGTTAGCCAGGAAGTCTTGGGTGGATTTCAGTCCCTTTGCTTTTTTTTTTTTTTTTTTTTTTTTACAGTTGATTAGACTGGCTTATGATGATCTGTATACATCTTCTGCATTTTGAGGTCAGGTAAAGTAAAGATAATTGCAGATTGCTTTCAAATTCCTTTGTGAGGACAGAAAAAGTATGCATTGGAATGCCAGATGAAAGAAGCAACAACCAAAATTGCAACATCTGTTTAACAAGCAATAAATGTCAGTATATTTGTGGGCCTGCCAAGAGGTACACAGTGTTCAGAAAAGAGATTAAATCGCAATGAAAGCACTCGGCCTAAATAAATGTCTTCTTTCTAGGATGCTAATCCCATTTCCCTTTGTTGATGCTGCTCCTTGGGCCTGTACTATCTAGAAGAAGGAAAAAAAGTTTGAGTTAATAAATCTCAGGCCTTCTCCCTGAATTTCTGGCCCTTCTCCTGGGAAAGCAGAAATAGTGAATACTTCTTTTTACAAAATAAACTCAATATTTTAACAGTATTTGAAATACAAATGTAGACCTGGAAGCATACAGAGATTCATTAATATTTTTATGCAATGTGTTTAGTTTCATTATAGTTATATTAAAACTTACTCCTGTGAAGGGTATCCTAAAATAGTTTCATTTTACATGTTTTATAACATGTACCAGAAAATTGGGACTAAGTATTAATCAGTAAATATTGCTGCTAGCTGGGGTAGTACTCCCCTGCTATCATGAAAGCAGGTTATCTAGGATTACACAGAGACATCATGAAGTAGAGCCATCCTGAAACAGGTATCTAAAATGCAACCACAGGCATCCTATGAAGCATATGCAGCCCCTGCCCCATTTTGCTACACCAGAGGGGCATTATTTTAGATACATGTTTTATGTATTATTTTAAGTACATGTTATTTAGATTAATTTATTTCCTTCTATTACAGAGACTGCCAGCTAGAGCAGTATATGACTTTAAGGCTCAAACTTCTAAGTAAGTATTAGTCCCTTTTTTTTTAACCCAGAGAATCATAATGAATCTTAAATTTTCACAGGTAGAAAAGAATATGTGCAATCATATTACAATTGATACAAACGAGTCTCTATTTCTTATGTAGTTAAATTAACGTTTAACTATTTAAGCATTCTGCAGTATTCAGATATTCAGTAATTTAAGACATAGTAGCCGCTAATGTATGACTCATACATTATAAAGTGTTTAGCAATATTTAATGCATAATAGAATAGTACATACTTAAAATAATGGTTTTTAAAATTACTTAAAATAATGGTTTTTAAAATTGAAGTTGTTTTCTTTTGTTTTACTTTTTTTTTTAATTTGATTTATATGCCGCCCTTCTCCGGAGACTCAGGGCGGCTTACAATGCGTTAAGCAATAGCCTTCATACTTTTGTATATTTATACAAAGTCAGCTTATTGCCCCCACAAACTGGGTCCTCAATTTACCTACCTTAGAAAGGATGGAAGGCTGAGTCAACCTTGAGCCTGGTAAGAATTGAACTTGCAGTAATTGCAGGCAGCTGGATGTTAAATGCTGCCTTAGGAGGCATCAGCCTCCTACGCCACTTAGGCTCCTTACTTACTATAGAGGGAACAATTTTGCAGTGAAATAAAAATGTACATGTTGTTAATGTATGATTTAGGACATTATGTATGATTTGAATATGCAGTGTTGATTTACTTTCACTTTTGAACATTCTCACCAATATAGTTTTTATTATGCTCTTTATGCCATTTTATCAGCAATAAGAGACAAAATTGCTTTGAGGCTGGATTTCTATACTGTTATAAGAAAAACAATCCCTTTAAACTTGCCAAAGTCCATAGAGGTCGAGTCTTTCTTAAAGCTGGCGAAGTGAAGACAATCTAAATTTTAGAGTTGGATGGAAAAGTAGGATTTCATATGCCACTTATCTAATACATTCTGAACCAGTTGTAGTTTCTAAGTCATCTTCAATAATAACCTCCTAATGTTGCAAAAATCCTGATAATAGTGGTTAAGGCATGAATGAGCATGAGCAATCAAGCAGAAATGGATACAATTGGCAAGATGAATTTGTACAACAGGCATCCTAAGTGGGCCAGTCCTATTTTCCTCCCCTATTCTACAGGTAGTCCTTGACTTAACAATAGTTCATGTAGTGACCATTCAAAGTTACAACAGCCCTGAAAAAAGTGATTTATGACCATTTTTCACACTTATGACTATTGCAGCATCCCCATGTCATAAATCCAGACACTTGGCAACTGACTCGTATTTATGACTGCTGCAGAGTCCTGAGGTCATGTGATCACTTTTTGTGACTTTCTGACAAGCAAAGTCAATGAGAAAGCCAGCTTCCCATGCTTCAGGAGGTCACATTGGGTTGAGTTTTCCTTCTAAGAAACAAATTCTGCCAGTTTGTTTGCATCTCTAGTTGCCTTTTAACACTGGTAGCAGTATCAAAAAAGAATTAGGGAACTGACACAGAGGGAACCTAAAGAAAAGAGTCTTTGGTCCTAACTAGAAATAACACCTATCGGTATGTTTATCTGTTCATTCTTAACCATTGTCAAGCAATATCTGAATAAAGATAGTTAAGGAGTGTAGATAGAAGATAGAATGTAAAACCATGCTTAAGAAAAACAAAGATTGCTAGGTGTTATTTCTGTAAAGAACCAAAGCAGTCTTACATTTCATTTTATAGATAAAGCAGTAAATGTCTTTTTACAAAAAGAAAACGCTAGTTTCCTTGATAAAATAAACCACAGTTTCTTTTGCTTTTGAGATATTAATCAACATTAAATCAGTAAATTATTTAAGAAAAAGTAAGCTTTTGTGTTTATGGTTGACCTCATTACTAAATATAATTTCAAGCTGCTAGTTTTGGTTCTTCTTTTTGTTATTTAAAATGATAAACCAATTAATATTCAATTCAAGATATAGTTACTAGGATGTCAAACCTGTATCACTGTATAAATGTTTCTTACAGAGAGCTACCCTTTAAGAAAGGAGACACTGTCTATATCCTCAGGAAAGTGGATCAAAACTGGTATGAGGGCGAACACTACGGAAGAGTTGGGATTTTTCCCATTTCTTATGTTGAGGTTTGTCTTTACACCAGCAATCTGATACATATGAGTTTTATAAATAGATGCCCAGTTTGGAAAGGTTGATTAAAATAACCACTATTCTCTCTTCAGAAACTTATTCCCCCAGAAAAAGCACAGCCAGCAAGACCACCACCTCCAGCACACGTGGCCGAGATTGGAGAAGCTATTGCAAAATATAATTTCAATGCAGATACAAATGTGGAACTTTCATTGAGAAAGGTATTTGCTAAAATTGGGTGTTACACTAAGTTTGACAAAGATTCTCTGTAAAGGGGTTTATTCACTCAAGTATATATTAACCAGGGCTGTATTGTGACTGTAAATTAGGCTACTACATCTTTCTGCTGCCTATTTTTTCTTTCTGCTAAACTTTTTTTATTTCCTACATTGGTACTAACCTTCTTTCCCTCTCTTTCTTTCAAATCCTGGCGCTCCCTTCAGCAATGCAAATAAAAAGTGCTGTACAATATAGGTAGTCCTTTTTTACCGACCACAATTGGGACTGGCAACTTGGATGTTAAGCGAAGCAGTTGCTAAGTGAAACGGCCACTACACATGATTTGTAACTTCATTTTGCTTTACAGACCAATGAAGTCATTAATGCTAGGACTGGTTACAAAGTTATTTTTTTCATCACAGTTTGAACAGTCATTGTTTGAGGCATTCACTAAATAAAGATTACCTGTATACTATTTGAAGATGTTTGGGACTGAATCAGAGCTTCCTTTCAGTGCAAATACCAGATGCTAGGCTATAAATCTGACTCAGAACTGTATCAGGGGAAAGAATTAAAACTTATTTATTTCTATATACAGTATATGCAATATCAAATTTTGCTGTATCCTACAATCCACTTTGAGGCGGTCATTTTCTGGTCCAGTATTTTTAAGGGGCTTCTTACATACAGGTGATTTTTTGCTTAACAACCATTCGTTTAGCACCTGTTCAAAGTGATGACAACGCTGAAAAAAGTTATTTATAACCAGTCTTCACACCTATGAAGGTGCAGCATCCCTGCGGTCACATGATTGCCATTTGAGACCTTCTGAGCTGGCTTCTGACAAGCAAAGTCAATGGGAAAGTTGGCAAGAGATGACAAGTTGCAGTCACATGATGTCTTGCTTAATGACCTTAGATGATTCACTTAATGAATGGAACTGGAACTGCCATTGCTAAATGAGTTGGCCATGTGATGTTTTGCTTACTTACTGCTTCATTTAGCAATGGAGTTGCTGGTTCTAATTAGAGTCAATAAGCAAGGACTGTCTGTATTTTATTTCAAAGATCCACAGAAAAAATGCCCAGTAATTACTTTTTAAAATGAGATCAAGAAAACTCTTGGTACTTTCCTTTTAAAAACAGTTCTTTTTAAAGGGCCCCATACATTGTCAGCAGAATGAAGTCTTTACAAAGATATTTCTCCCTCCTAGAGCTAACAGAAATATTTTTATTTTTATTATGCTTTTTTGCCTTCCCGAGTGGGTCTTCAAAAGAGGCTTCTCCTTTGTAACCTGAACTGCCATGTTATCATGTTAAAATCTCTCTTGCAGAGGTCTCTGATAAGGGGGATGTTTCAAAGGTCAATAAAGAGATTTCTTGGACAACGTCCTACAAAGGAAGAAAACTCTTGGTAAATTTCCTTGATCAGCATAAACACTTTGAAAAGCAAATGCAACCTTTGAACCCTCCCTTTCCCATATATTTTCCCTAGGTAGGACTAGCATTAGACAATTATTGTAGCTTTCTATGTTTGTCTCACTACAGTTTCACTAGAAGAGGAATTTCCATTCTTAACTGGCAGTACTAAGAGCCACACAATTCGTCTTTCCATTGAAAAATTCATTTAGACAGCCATTGATTCTATGAATGGTGCTTCAAGTTACTTTAAGACCTGAATCTGTATGGGAAGCATTTTGACCTTGGGGACCTCTTGACTTTTCATAATTATTCACTTTCATTAATATTCTATCACAATTAAGGAATTTGTATTCCATCGCTAAATATTGTATGCATTCATGTTGGGACAACAATATTTCATCTATTGAGTGTTACCTTTCAGGGAGACAAAATCATTCTTCTTAGACGGGTTGATCAAAACTGGTATGAAGGCAAGCTACTGGGAACAAATAAGCAAGGAATCTTCCCAGTATCCTATGTAGAAGTCAAAAAGAGCATGGCCAGAGGAGAAAATGAATATCCTGTTCCTCCAATACCCCAGAGTTACTCAAGTGACAAAATCCACCATTCAGCTAAGGTGAGAAATGCTTTGTTCTCTTTAGAGTTTCATGCTATGCACAAATCTTGGTTATAAATAAATATTAGTATTTATTGATTTCAATTATAAAATTATCATAAGAATAAATTATACCATTTTTATTTTGTAATGTAGATTGCACTGTTTTTCCTCTCTTAGGTTACCTTGATTTTTATATGGGGTTCTTATATGTTTGCATTTTATATTAAAAAATAATGTGTTTGCACAGTTTAAGCTCATGAAAAGTATATGGAAGCCCAGTTTAATACTGTTTCATGCAGAATTACTTGATTCAATGACCTTCTGCATTATTTACATAATGCAAACGGCTTTATGAACCTGAGCCAATTTCTTATCAGAAAACACACACATAATATACACACACATACACATCTATGGTAGATGAGGGTTACCTCAATTTAATGGTGGAAACCATTTCTCTTAAACCAGTTCTTTAAAGGACCATTAACTATTGTAATTAGGATATGGTAATTTTGAATACATATTATTTATTGCAATTTTTTACTAGATGTATTTATTTACCAGATTTATTTTCATCTGGTAAATAAATCACATAATTTATGTGATTTATTATATATGTGTGTGTGCATATGTGTATGTGTACATAACATAATTTATGACAATGTACTGAACAGAATAACATTTGACATAGTAAATAAGAGTAACACAATATAATACACCACAAGAACAAATCAATAACATGTCTAATAATAACTAAGAATTGATGCACAAGTTGCAGGCTTTGCACCAATCACACTTGTGAACCAATTGCACCAATTCCTGGACCAGAAATCCCTACATATGAGTCATTCGTGCCCTAAACACTTCCCATTTGGAGTACTGCAATTCATTTTACAAGGGACTGCCCTTGATGTCCACCCAGAAACTTCAACTGGTCCAGAATGTTGTGCTGCTTGCAGTTCTGAGTGCATCCTGCATTTTTGTCTGTGCTACATTGATGGTGTATGAACTGCCCTGGCTTATAGTTTATTTCCAAGAGCAATCTAAGGTGCTGATTATTACATTTAAAGTCTTTGATGGCACTGGAACCAGGTTATTTGAAAGACCAACACTTCCTTAAGATATCTATTCACCCATCTAGACCAGATAGAATGGGCTCTCTCCAGGTCTCTCTATTAAATATTATAATCTGTTGGGACCTAGGAAGCAAGCCTTTTCTATAGTAGCACCAACGCCCCTCTGATGCAGAGGATCTAAGCTTCCAGGGATCCTAAAAATTTGCTCTTTCCCTCATGAGTTGAATTGGGCTAGGATGGGAAGTGAGGCCAGCACTTAAAAAATTATGAGGGTGCTGCTTGTTTGTTTGATTGCTTGAGAGGATACTATTATGACATTGGTGATACGTAACAAATTTTAATTGTGTTTTTATTATTTGTTTATTCTTTATTAACTATCTAAGATTGTTGTCCATAAAAGCCATATAATTTTATTTTCAAAATAAGTAAATATATAATATCTGAATAAATATAGCTAATAGCCAGGGGTGAAATCCAGCAGGTTCTGACAGGTTCTGGAGAAACGGTAGCGGAAATTTTGAGCGGTTCGGAGAACTGATAGTAGAAATTTTGAGTAGTTCGGAGAACCGGCAAATACCACCTCTGGCTGGCCCCAGAGTGGGGTGGGAATGGAGATTTTGCAATATCCTTCCCCCAGGAGTGGGGAGGGAATGGGGATTTTGCAATATCCTTCCCCCAGGAGTAGGGTGGGAATGGGGATTTTGAAATATCCTTCCCCTGCCACACCCACCAAGCCATGCCCACCAAGCCATATCATGCCCACCAAGCCACGCCCACAGAACCGGTAGTAAAAAAAAATTGGATTTCATCACTGCTAATAGCCATTCCCTAAAGGCCCTCTGGAAGTGCTAAAAGACTGTAGCAGAGCAGGACCAATTAACCTCTAGAACAGAACCTTGGCATCTTGAAGATTTGTGAACTTCTAGAATTCCCCAGCCAAGCCATACTAGGCAATACTTAAAGTACATAGGTGCCAAGCTGTATAGGAGTTACAAATCAGAACTAGTTCTTTGAATTCCACTGTAGTAGTAGTAGAATATATACTATGAAGTATCCTGAAAAGGACTATATTATTTATCATACTGGGTATTCCAATCACACATTACATTTTTGACTTGCTGCAGTTTTTGAGGAGTTTTAAAAGAAGCCCCAGGTAGAGAGCACCTTGCACTCAATTTGCACAGTGATTATGGCATGAACAGTCAGGCCTTCTCATAACTGCTCACTAGTAACACCCAGTAATGTCATCTTATTAGGGTTCGGTTTTAACCTGTTTTGTCCCATCCATATCCCATCAGTCTCCGGATATTTGAATGAGATTTCAGTAGCAACTTCAGCTGGGCCTGCAGTGGCAGTATAAAGCTAAGTATCATCAGCCTGTTCATATCATATCCCAATGGCCAAATGACCTTTCCTAGCAACTTCATTTGTAAGGAAGAGGGAAGGACCAAGGCCATTGCAGCACCCAAAAAGGGAGAAGTATATGAGCCAGCTTTGGCCTTATCCACTGCAATTGATGGCAATTGCCCATTGAGGTAGGAATGCAAATACGGCAGAAAAGAGCCTCTGATCACCAAACTTTGCAGTCCGGGTATCATGCATGATGGTAACAAAAGTTACTGGGAAGTTAAGTAAGACCTATGGATCACTCTTCCTACATCAAGATCCTGAAAAATGCTATCCAACTACAACAGCTGTTTTCTCCATCCCATGCCCATGTGTAAATAATTGAAAAAGTTTCATATTTCTCTAGTCAAAAATGTAATGTGTGATTTCACTTTCTCTAGATTGTCTCTGGCTGCATCCCAATGTGCTCTTTACATCATTACCAGAAGGGAAAGCTATGAAGACTAGACAATAGTTGTCAAACACTTCTGGATCCAGGGAGGATCTATTAAGGAGAAGCATAGACAATCTCCCACAGCCAGGTCATCATACACTCACCCAGTCCTATATTGAGCCAGGAAGGGCATAGTCTAAGCCCTCATGTGTCTGAGATTGTACCAAAGAGCACTCTTTCCCCTTCCTCAAAGGAAGCCAAGAGGAAGCCCAGATAAGGGAGTTTTATAGTGCTCAGGTACTACAGTATATTAGACTGTTCATCAGAGTCAAAATCATGGTGAATCTGAATGTTGGGAATATGCTATGTAAAATAGCTACAGTGCCCAGGCAGGATATCTTCCTGTTTATTTTTCTCTAAAAGAGGCTTTAGCAGCTTAAATAAGGCCACCAGCCAACAACTTGCAGCAAGTAGCATCCCATTATAAATTACTGCATAAACATGTTTTGCCTGCAAGATTTCATGTACATAGGGCACCTTTATCTTTTATCATTGTTCAACTTGGATGAGAAGCGAATAGTTTTCAGTGAAAAGAAAGGAAATAATAATAATTAATGTGAATTATAATTGCTTTAGGATTCTCCAAGGAAACACAATTAAGTTAATACTGGATCTTCAGCAGATGTTTTCATGCTTGAGTTGTGAAAGAAGGGGAGAATTGAGAGATTTCGGGTCCAACTATGCAATTTTCCAGCACTAGCTCTCACTTCCATAACATTTGTCAGTAAAAAGGTGTAACTCAAACTAGAATTGGCATTGCAAGATACTTTCGTTCTTGCAAAAACAAGTGGTTATTAAAATGATGCAAATACAACACATATTTTTGCTCATGGATTTTTCTAGTATTGGGGATCAACAGCAACCCAACATATTTTAATTAGCACTAAGGAAGTTAGTGGATATCTGCCTACTGATACTCAATAATGAATGTAGTACTGTTTGGTTTCAAATCTTCATGGAAACATAATGTAGCTCTTCAGTTTTCCCTATCTCTGACCTCCACTTCTTGCTAAATAAGCATTATGCATAACGCCAGAGATGGACACAATATAAAAAACAGATAATAACTTTATAGTAAAATACTTAAATGTGGTAAAATTGTACTTATAGCATATTATGTACTTTAATAATTTTATATCTAGTAGCAATTGTGGGCTGAAGATTTCTATTTAAAATTGTTCTTTCTAGTTAAAATATATATATTCTTTCTATTTAAAATGACTGAATACAAAAAGAGGATAATTTTTCTATTTTTCAAATTTTGCTCAGCTTTTTGTGCCTATTTACATAAATGGAACCATGGCTGTCATTGTCCATATTAAATCTATGTGACTTAAAATTAGTGCTAATTAACACCATGTTCATAAGACTACTTTTAACATTCACAAAAGTATTTCTTCTGTTTGTGTTTCTCAGTGACAGCTGAGATCCATTCTATATTATTTAAATTCTATTTTAAGGACTAAATCATAACTTTAGATTTCCTGTGCAATTAATTCAAAGTATCCATGTTCTCCTGGTACCTACATTTTATATATAATACAAATGTTACCATCAGCCTTTCTAAGACAAATTTCAAACTTTTTTATTTCAAATGAGGATTAACTTGTAAAATTAATAACAAAAACTACATTTTCAGTATTTATTGAAGCAATGGATATCTACTGATGCAATATACGTATGAATCCCAGCTCTTCCATGCTTACAAAAGGACCTTTATTTTACCAGAAGAAATCTACAATCAATATTTCAGCTTAACCGTATTATTCAGCCAATAATGATATTTTTCAAAACAGTTTTGAGTTTAAAATAATTTTCTATTATATGCACTAACTAGCATTTGGATCCTATGTACCTTTAAAAGAAATGTAATAATGTGTGAAGTGCTATTATTTTTAAAGTAAAAAAATAGATTGTGTAGCTGCAGGGAACATAAACACAATGTACAATTTTATTGAATTTGTTATTGCAGGGTTCTTTTATCAGTTGGTGAAGAACTTAAACACTTGCAGCATTTGGGATTAATTTTGATTAATCTCAAACTATTGCAACCTGAATTGCATATGTCTGTACTATGCAGAACCACTCTCCTCTCAAAACAATAAGGCTGCAGAAAGTAAAATTTGGGTAATCACATCTGGGCCATTAGTCACTGGCTGGCATGAGAGTAACGTGGTGATTCAAATCTGTCTTGATGTCTGACATTTAGTCAGACGTCAAGAACCTGACAGTTTCACTTTCCAGATATGCTTTCTGCTGCCTGGTTGATATGCTAATGAATTCAAAAATGTACGCTCAGTAAGTAATATCCTATAAAGAGGAGTTAACAGGATGGTGTTTTTAAAAAAAGCATTCTTCTGGAGGAGCCCAGTCCTTCACCTTGTTTTAATTCCTGTTCTTTCCCTTTATTTCTCAAGTGGGATTCCAAAGCACCACCCCCTCCTCCCAGATACAGATCCTCTTCTTATCCAGATTCTAATAAAAGACATCTTCAGGCCATCACTGATGAATGGTTGTCACTGACTCTTGGCTTTTCACCTTCAAGCACACCTTCCCCTCCTCCTCCTCCTCCTCCTTTTCCTAAAAGCTTTCTTTCTGGTTTAGAGGAATTCGACTCTCTACCTTTAGCAGGTTTAGAGAAGACAGGGTACCTCTCAGATAATATCACTCCTCAAATAAAGCATGGCCATACTGTTCCAGTTCCCTCATCAAAGGCCTCCCATGTGTTCCCTGAATCTTCGCCCAAGCCACTTTCTTCATCTACATGCATATCATCACCTCCTCCAGCAACCCATTTTCATGACCACGGACATAAGCTTGAGTGGAACCATTTCAAAGGGATGAAAGGAATCCCCACCGTCAAGGAAAAGAAAAGCCCCTCAAACCCTGTTCCAGAAATGCAAAATATAGCAGGCCATGCCCTTGCCCTCGCCAAAGAAGACTCGTTATCCAAAACACTAAAGGAAGTTGGCAAACAGGAGGAACTCTGTGAGGAGCTGCTGTCAATCATTCAAGGGGAGCAGTCAAAAAATAAAGATTTAAGTTTCTACAGTCGTGCCCCTGAGATGCCTGAAGAATTGGCAAGACTTCATATAGAGGAAGAGCCAAACCTTGACCATTTAGAGTCACCAATGGCAAATAAGAGACAGCCTATGATAACTTTTGAAGGCAACAGTTCAGCAGATACTAAAAAAGAGGTATTTAAACATTGTACAATAATGTTTTATTGTACTTACATCATTAGTCCAGATTTTGTTCAGTGTATTTGTTTTGGCATGAGCTTTCTACTACACATTGCAATTTTCAAGAACAATTTAAGCATACTAATACACAACTGTTCCTTCTTCAATTCATTTTGAAGATCAGCTGATTGCTTCTTAACTTTTTGAAAACAGCTACTGTACCTACTATTAACTCTGGCTTTTACCAGCAATGCAGAATCCTTGACTCTTTCCAAGGATGACAAGCAGTACCTAGAAGGATTTTTGCATCAAACCAGAAGATGCATTTCACATCTTATTGTGGCGGCATATATTAATTTCATTTTAAATAAAAAGCCCTATTTTAATAGGAATCATGGCATGTAGAAAAGTATGTTTGCCACCTTGAGTTATTTATAAGAAGGTATATACGTAAATAAATACAGAAAAAATAACAGAAAAAGAAATATGCTGCACTAAGATCCAAGTACGTGTTACATACATTATGTAACATGTTGGTTCCTATTATTCTAAAATAAGCCCTCTTCCTGGCCAAAAACAGTTCAGTAACTCCCTTAAATGCCTCCATTAGCTTGCTGAGTGATGCATTGTTCATATTGCTTATTCCAGACCTATTAAGGATAATTAAGGAAAATGCCCAATTGGCTGTCTAGTTCCCAAGCCATGTTCATAATCCTGGTGTTTCTAGGCAAATTTAATTAGGATATAGCAAAATGTTTGCCCACAAACTCATTAAAAAGGTGAAGAGAACATTTTAAATAAGAAATAGGAATTATCCATAGTTTAATTAGGATTGCCATAACCAAGATTTCCCTGGACACATCTTTTATCCTAGCTATGTTCCATCCAGCTGGGAAGAAAATTGCTCCTTAAATGTTGGAGATGAAACAGTCATAACTTCTGCTGCTCAGCAATATCAAGCAGCCCCTTGAACAGTCAGGAAAAAATAAGGATGAGGCTCTTCAGATTTAGTCTTTGGGAAAGTATGTCACTCCGCTGGCCTCCTGATTGGTGCATGAAAGAGGGGGAGTGGCTCAAAGGCATATAAACTTCATGTTCTTGGCAGTGAATCTAAAGTTTTGTGTAGGTGGAGTTATGTTTTTCTTCTTTAAATAGTATTTTGATTTCATAGAGTAGATATTGTGACTTGTGATTTTATACCACAAATACTGGTATAATTTGCAGTGTCTAAATGAGGCTTTCTATGAGACCAGCAGTAGCTCCTGTTTCGTTTAGGAAGTTATAAATTCTGCAGATCTTTTTATCAGCCTATCTTTGTGACTGAATACACTCCACACTGAATACACCCTTGCTTGGAAAACAGAAACAAGAATAACACAGTTGTTCTTGGTTTGAATTATTGGTCTTCCAGACTGTTTTCTCATAAGCCATGATCATGCTTTTGTGGGCATGATGTGGTTGTATTGCAGGTCTGGGCTTTCCTTTTTTAATGTAATTGCAAATATAGGCTGCATCCAGGACCTCTTACAGATGTTGGTTAGGTTGTTTTATACAGTAAATGTACTTTAACCTTGTCTTAAACTTTATTTATGATCTACTAAAATAGATTACATTTAAATACATTCATAGAGCAGTCTGCTCATACTGGTCTACGACTGCAATAAACTGAACTGAATAACCTCACTACAGGTTGTATTTAGGTATGAACTGTTTTCAAAAAGTAACTTGCAGCATTGTATTTTCAAGAAAAGGGAGTGGGACCTGCTGATCAAGAAAGTTTAGCCTAAGGATCCTATCTTTGTTCCATGGATAATCTGACTCATACACTTTTATACTAAGTAAATCTTCTCAACATACATAGCAGATGGGCCAGGTAGGGCCACCTTTCCTTTTACTGATGGGGGTGTATATTCTTCTTTGTTTTTTTATCTCTCCCTTTGTAATTGCTGTTCCACAGAATTACAGTTGTCTCTCTTTAAATGTTTAAGCCAGCATCACTTTCCCATGAGATGAAAGTACCTTCTACCTCTCCTTCCTGCCTTGCTTCTAGTTCTCCATTTCATTCAGCCAAAGCATCTTTTCCTGAATCTCTCTCTGCGCTTTCCAAGGCCACTGCTACCCATTCACCCCCTCTCCTTTCCAAACTCTCATACAGACAAGAGAAAAAATCATCCAAGATAAAGGTAATAGTGCCTGTAAACTATGAAAATGCTGCACGTCTTCTCAACTGCTTGACAAATGGAAAGCCTGGAGGTTAACCTGTTATTAAAATTTGGATTTGCAACTAATATTTAATACTGCAAGCATGCAATCAAGTTTTAGATGAATGTTTTAAATATATTGAAATTACCTTGCACCAATCCAAGATTCACTGAAATAAGACTGGGATTATCACAGGTCCATTTTTGGAACACAATATCTGGCAATGTTTTCTAATTCTAATCAATTTCTTATCTCAATTTTATTAAGACCGCATTCAAAGTCTAGTAAGTCAACTAAAAAAAAATCACACACACACACAATTTGCTGATGCTTTATTTAAACTAAATTTGTATATCAGTGATTGCATGACCTGTTGAGATACCATGCGCTAAATAAAATATATATATTAAAAAGGCACTGTAATATAACACCAGCTGTCTGTAATTAAAGTAAGTTCGAATCTTGCCAGGCTCAAGGTTGACTCAGCCTTCCATCCTTTCTAAGGTAGGTAAATTGAGGACCCAGTTTGTGGGGGCAATAAGCTGACTTTGTATAAAATATACAAAAGTATGAAGGCTATTGCTTAACGCACTGTAAGCTGCCCTGAGTCTCCGGAGAAGGGCGGCATATAAATCAATTTTTTTTAAAAAAAAAAAACCTTTTAAAATTATCAACTTTCAAGACCAAGACTTCTACCTAATAAGTCCCATTAATATTAGAGCTTCTAGTAATGCCAATATTGACTTTGAAGGTACTGAAATTCTGAAGACATTATTAAGCACATATTCTAAAATCCATTTCTTTAATCTATAGCAAGTGCATTTCTTATAATTATTTGGATTTATCCCTCTAGTTGGTCTTGCCATCAGAAATCAAGAATAAGTGAATCAATATGCTAGCCTAGAAGCAACATTGCAATATGCAATCCTTTCCCACTGTCAGCAGCATTTATCTCTTGAGATAAATGGGAAAGCAATCTAGGGAGCCCAATAGGCACAAGCAAGTGGTAGAGGCAATTAATAAACTTTGTTCTGGTTCATTCATCTTAGGAAATAACATCACACAGTCTCTTCTTGGATTAATGTTACTGTATTTCAGAGAGAGAGAGAGAGGGGGGGGGGGGCAATCCTAGATTAATGTATAGATGAAATGGACAAAAGAGTTGAAGTACTAGAAAGTGAAAATAATAATCCACCATTTAAAACTGCCCATTGAAAAGTTAGAGACCAACTGTTAATGCACCCAAAGTCCTGTTGTCAGCATTTAATAGCAATACATTCAAGAACTGTTGCAGTACCATTAAGAAATTGCCAAATATATACTTTTTTAATTCAAAGACAACTCGTATTTTGAATTTTCTTTCAGTGATCACAAAAATATGAAATCTGCAACACTCTTAGCTTTAACATTTCATAAGCTTGAAGGATATATATGTATATATGTAAAGCACATACTTAGATTTTTACTGATATCTTTCTTGTACATTATTTTTTTCTTTCTGGCTGTGAAGTGTTAGCAATAGGTTGGCCTTAGATTGTCCTCCAGTGTTATCTGCACAACTGATCAAATCTATTACCCCTGGAATATTTGAAAAGCAATCCAGTTGTATAGGCTTTATGAATTTGGGATGCCAAGGATTCTCTTTTTAAAAGAAGATATAAGCAGCCATTTTCAGGCATAGTTGGTTAACAGTTCTGCATGCCATTTGTGTGCTTTGGAAATGAGAAAAATTGATTTCCCAGCTTGCAGGAATGAAACTGCAGGAGATTGCCCTTCTAGATGTTTAGATGAATTGACTAGTGTTTATGGTTTTTCTAGGCTGATTTAAAAAGAGAGATCTCTGTCATCGGCAAACCTCCTCGTAGCCCTGCTTTGACTAGCAGGTCTTGTGGCTCACCTGTCAGAGGGCACAGCTTTTCACATAGGGTATGATACTACGTGGCCTGTTAGGTATTACTAGGTTTCCCCCTAGCATAAAATCTTTAGAACTGGTTACGGGATCTTGAATTCACATGTTCAAATAATTCTAATGGTCTTTCTTTCTGTTGTTCTGCTGTTGAAAATGTTTTGAATGGTAACATGTGAAAGCCATGGTACCCAGTGCTTGACTTCCAAGTTCACTGATAAAATGTAAAGCAAAGCTATTACAAGTGTCCATTAAATCAACCTTTTAAAAAGCACATCTTTAGCCACTCAAATTTGTATTTAACTTCCAGTCTTGTAAATAACTCCTCTTATTTCAAAATATTTTACTTATGAGACTGTTAACAGTGCTACATAAGGAAGCCTCTTTGTACTATCATGGGTTCCATAAAGTTTAAGTTATTATTTGTTATTTTCAATTGCATGATCCTGTTTTTAAAATGTTTTGCTGCTATAGCAACATGTATTGGGTTGATTTGTTAACATGCTTTCTCATAGCATTGCTTTTCCTAGAGTTGTCATTTGCATTAGCTTTTCCATGCATATATGCTTAAAACATCTTTCTCAAATTGCAGTTTTGTCTTAGTAACATGACTGTCTGACTATAGATAAAAGTGTGATTTTCACATTTTGTGTTAAAGCCAAATGTTAAATCTATCCAATTTTCTGTTTTCTTTAGTAAGATTTGTTTGTTTGAATTTCATGAAAAGGACTAGGAAGAAGAAAACAATGTTATTTAAATAAAACAACCTAAGACTTTTAGTTATGTTGGTGTCAACTCTGGTAATGAACAACTTGAATGAGTCATTGCCTATGGAGGCAATGGATAGAGATTCTCAATCATCCAGGTCAAGGTTGTCTTTCAAAAGGCAACTGGACTTTCTTGCTTTTTTTTCTTTTAAGACGTTTCACTTCTCATCCAAGACGCTTCTTCAGAATTATTCTGAAGAAGTTTCTTGGATAAAAAGAAACTTTGGCACTTGAATGGGTCATAGTGGCTCGAATTTATAAATGAATCCAGATTGAAACTGATTGAAGTGAATGGATTTTTAAAATTGCCGAGTGTTGTAACAATATCCAACTAAATAGATGTACAACTACATACACATCTGTAAAGCTAATATTAAGAAGAGCTTCCTCACCAACTTTGTCTGGTATGAAGGCTTAAGTCTTTTTAATTATATTCATAGCTATTAATCATTGTAGATTACTTGTTGCTCTCTGCTTTTGACTACTCCACTGCACTTTTGATAGAACAATTCTTGAACGTTGATTAAATTCTGTAACTGATGCAAACTAATGTCTATCCATTATATACCTGGGCTCCAATGGTTGCGCTACCTTCTTTGCAGCTCTCTGGGAAACAAACCATCAGAATAAATATGAAAAATATTCTGAAGAGCTTCGGTCAGATATAATAAAATATTCTTTATTCTCCTAGGCATCATCATAGAACTAGGCACGACACCTTTGTAGCGTTGACAGAGAAGTGTCAGGATCTTTCTTATTAAAAGATTTTAGGGACTTTAAATAATATTTACTAGTCACAGAAATATTCTCATGTATCCTATAATGATTAAACATAATTCATCTGAGCATCTTCTAAAATAAATATATATGTTAACATGTAATTATATGGCTTAGATATCCATGAAACATAAATAAATCTAACCTGTTTTAACTTTCAAGAGATTACTTTTAGTTCTCTTGTGACACAAGAAAACTGTCTCTAGTTTTCTTGTGACTGCATACATGCAGTCACAAGAAAAGGCACAGCTGCTGTAAGATGTTGCATATAGGTCTATATTCATACTCCTGTGCATTTCAAAGCACATTTTGGAATGCAAATCTATAGTGCTACATAGTCAAAAGAATAAGTATTTTAGCCATGAAATATAGGCACAAGACAGTTCCATGCATGTACTAAATTTTTTTAAAATGTAATGCATTTTTTATAAACAGCCTCTGATCATTAACTTACAGTATTTTCAAGCTTGTTTGACTGACTCACTTGTTTGCATTATTATTTGCATATGGAGAATGTTTTAACGTATGTGTTAAACTCTTAGGCTCTAGCATTCACCTAGTGGCAAATGCATAAGATTTATATTCAGGAATCCTTCCAAAGTCAATGGAGTTTGAATTACATCTGATGTCTGCAAGCTCTGAATCTCATGCAACAACATTGCATGCATTTCCCATTCAGGAAATGTTGAAACACCATTTAAACTGCTTTCTAATTTCTGCAGACAGCTGCTAATAGAAAAATATCCTAGAGTAACTGTATCATTCTTTTTCTCTCTAGCAATGTATTTTCTAATCATATTTTAAAAAGTAAAATTAAAGAATGGTTCTCATGCATTTTCACTGTTATACATTGTAGTTTATATAATGTAACAAATCAAAACTGTTGTCTTTTATAAAACAAATTTCAGTTACTGTATGAAGATGTTATTGAGTGGAAATCAGAGGAGATTACAATGTTCTCTGATATATCTGGATTAACGTATTCGGGCAAATCTAGTTTTTCTCTAAGCATTCCTTTTTTTCCCAAATGAAAACAATAATGTTGAAAGAGTAGCTGAACTGTGTCCTATAGCAGTAAGCAAAAGTTTGAAGTAATATTAGAAATTGCACAATCCATGTCTGCATAGTTCAAATACAGAAAATAGTGATTCACAACTTGACTCAATAATTTATTAAGATGCATTCATACTTTGAATAGCTACCAAGACTATAGTATATGGTTTAGTTTGGCATTTGTGCATGTTGAGAGCCTGAAGATGTGTGGACTTCAACTCCCATGCTGGCTGGGGAATTCTGGGAGTTGAAATCCACATATCTTCAACACAGATTTAGTTCATAATTCTGATTGTGCCAAAATCGTTTTGGAAATAATTTGTAGGATTGACACTTACATAACCTATTCATAATGAAACTTCAGAGAGGTTATCTAAATATGTTTCCAGGACTACTCATAAATAATAGATCAGCAAGAGAAACAAATGGATCGTAAATTATAAATTCACATTTGTATTTGTCAAATTTCCACCTTTATTTTAAATCTTATATATAACCTTAACTAAACTTTTGAGTGATCAGGTCCATTTTCTATAACTTTTCAAGGAATGTGTTGTCCCTGGATTAATGACTCACACATATTTTTGATAAACAGCTGTTGTTCTTTTGCTCTCTTCTCCTTTAAGGAGTCCTTAAGCAAATACACAAAACCTCTCAAGGCCAGGGAGCATAGCAAAATCTCTCTGAGAGGGCACTTCTCTAAGAATGTTATCCTCCTGACCAGTCATCAGGAATGGCTGCTCCTTGTTTTTGAAAGGCATTTGAATTGTAATGAAGCTGGGTTTTTTTCCTGCTATTTGCTTATTTAATGCTGTTGTAATCTTTGTGACACTAATGGTGTTTGAAAACACTGAAGCTAAACTTATCTGCTTTCTTTGGCATGGCAAGATTTAGGCTGAAAAGGATAAAGAGGCTTGCACAATGGAAAAGTCCTTGGAGAAATGGATCCTTCTTTGTTCCCATCTTTTAACCAGATTTTTTTTCTAAATAAGACCAAATAAAATATGGGTCTACGCTAAAATAGGCTTTACAATACAAATCCCCCCCATAGGTGTATATATTCTAAACTGTATCTTACCTACTGCTGAGAAAACCTGTTTTTAATGCAGCCCCTAAATCAGGGAATGTATTGAAGCACTTAGTGAGCTGACTATTATGGAAGACTGTGCTAAATTAATTGATTACAGTGTATACTCTTACTACATTTCAACTCATTTCATTTCAGCCACAGCGCCCTGTGTTTGCTCATGACAGTGGGGGGGAACCGTAAGTATTTTCATCTACTCAAGTTCTTCTTTAAATAATAGTGTTAAATTTCTAACTGGGCAAAAGGGAGAAATTGTCATCCAAGAAACCATATATCATCCCAAGTTTACTATGGACACAATAGAAAAGGATAAGGAAATGGGGTTGAACTAAACTAAAGTCTTGTGTGCTCCTCTCTCTTACCATGATGCATACATGCACCCATAATCCATATTTCCATCTATTCACAATGTTTTGAGCACTTTGAGCTCTTATAAAATCCAAACGTAGGGATGTTCAAACTTCATCAATTAAGCACAGAGCATTCCAGAGATCTCAAGAGTATGATATTTCATCCTCAACTCAACCATATAAAAACTTTCCAAAATTTTTTTTGGAAACTTTGCCCAAAAACTGGCCTAAGATGGAAGTAATCTCTGCAAGTGATTCATGGTGTCCTGGACATAGCATTCTGGACAAAACCAAACTGCATGGGACAGGACTATTTTCAACTGGTCTAAAATTGCTTCCATCCAAATTACTTCCAGAAATTATTGAGACACCTTGTAATGTGAAGAGGGAATGAAAAGTCCCACAGATCTCCAGGACAGTCATTCTTCTCAAACTGGTTAATTTTGCACAATTCTATCCAAAGGGAAGCGACCATAAGCCAAACCACAAAAAGTTTAAAATTCCAGTAGGTGCCAAAGATAGTGGTAGTGTTGAACTAAAGAAGAAGCAAGCTATCTAGAGAAAATGAAGGTGGCATGCTATTCTAAGGGATCAAATACAAAGACCTTCACAGAGCTTTGTCAAACTGCCTTGCAATATGATTACCGGAAAATTGAGTATATATTGTCCTAAAAGGAGAAACTAAAGGTGAACCAAGCAAATAATTATAGTCATCAGAAAGTGGGCCATAACTCAACAAGTTATGGCCCACTTCTTCTCGTTGAAGAATTTTCAACAAGCTCCTTGAAAAATAAGCTTGGATAAATATCCAGACTGGAGATTGGTGGATTGGGAAGCTAAAGGGGGAAAATTATCCTTTTAAAATCCTGACTTCAGCCACTTTTGAAATCAATGTAATACTTGATGTCAAGCTAAAGGAATTTGTACACCACTTTTCCTAGAACAGATAGGAAACTTCCATCTGCTTACCTTGACATAATAGTTTTGTATTTGGTCCCCCTTACAGCTATAACATGTCTCCGTTATAGTGGGATACAAGTAATGGGATCTGTGAAGGAAACAAATTAATCATCCCATTTAATGACTCTGTAGATTTTCTCACACAAGACAAACTAATCAGCAGTTCCCAGTATTGAAATGGCATGAAAATGGCATTTTCACTGCATGAAAATAGGAGTTCTCCTTTTAGCAAAATCCACAACTGTAGTAGGAAGATTCCAGGACCTATTGCAATAAAGTGTCCTCTTGCATCAGTTGTTCAATAAGGTCTGAGTTGATGTGAATGTTGCAAGGTATTCTTATCTAGAAGAGCCTTGGGTTGAAGGTAGTTTATATATCTATCAATCTTGCAATATGTTATTTTTTTTGTTCTGGTGTGAGACTTGGAACACACATATATTATTTAAATAATTATTAGCAAAGGCCAAATTTGCAATGTATTGCAGAGAAGCAATATTTAATACTCCCAGTTGATACACTACACAGAATGTTTAGAATAAGAGAAGTATAGGTACTAAACTTTTAGAGTATAATATCTGTATTTAGACATTACCAAGGTAGATTATTTTATTCTATTTAAAATGAGAGCATCTCTTACCCTGAACTCAACTGCTGGTGACTCATTCAGAACAAGTTCCAAATTTTCCAACTCATTATATCATGAACAAACAGAAAGAGAATTGGCTGCTACAACAAATAAAGTATATCTGTTTGTAACTAAGTAGATTCCTTATTGACCAAAGGTCATAACCCTCCACAACATCCTGCCACAAAGCCCTTAGGACTTTGTACAATATGATTTGTTAAGGAAGTAGGGGAGTGGGTCTCTTCACAATTATATTCATTTTTCCCCTTCTCAGTAGTTTATATACGTGGCAGAAACTGAAAAATGAAAGATTTTAAATTGGCATTTTTTGTTGCTTTTATTTCATTTATATCCTGTCCAATCTCCAGGAACTCAAATTTGTAGAATATTATTTCCTCTCTTCATTTTATCCTCAAGTTAGGCTAAGAGGTCATATAATGCCATTAAGCAAGAACATTTATTTAGGAACTAGCAATGCAATCCTTTGTTTCCACTCATAAACACCATCCATTGTGTTCAAAGAGGGGTTATTTCCAAGTGAGCAGATATATAATTGCACTGTGAACTCGGAGATTTTTCCAGTGAATTAGCAATGAATGGCAGTGAATGGGGCAGATGCTTTTTTATAATGTATACAATTGGGCATTGGATAATATAATACAATTTTTAAATATCTATAATTGGAACATAATGCATGGAATATAATACTGATAAAACCATATTTTTGTGACACTATATAATTGATAATGTATTGCAGACTTTATTGTCAGTGTATCTCCTAAGGAAGCCACAAATCCAAGTTTTAACAATTGTCAACTGTCTTTATTTTGAATATATTTTGAATTTTTTAATCCACTTATTTGTACGGCATGTCATATAATTAGATTTTTTTAAAAAATCTAAATAATTACAAAAAGCACTAACATGATAAATTTTTAACTTGATTTTTATCTAGCAAATACTGTTACCTAACAAGAAACAAATAAAATTTACTTCTAGAGTACAAGCCACCATTAATGAAAGAAGACTTTTTTAATAGAAAGATAACAATACAATGACATATCATTCCCAAGAGTAACATGGCTATTGACTGCTGGCAAATTTATAGTGAAAGGGAATTGTTAACATTCTTGAAGAAAAGCTAGCATTTCCAAAAATACAAAGAAAAAATAATATAAGAGAACAACATAAAAGTACATATATAAATTAGTGGCCATGAAATTCTAAACTAGAGAAGATATATTAGACTAAAGTACATAATGCTGGCTACTTGTTTATGAGAGCAAGAATTCAAGACCTTCTGGGGAATCTTAGATTGCTTGCTCTTGGAGCTCAGAGAAATGGTATAGGGCAGTGATGATTAACCTTTTTGTCATCACGTGCCAGGAGGTGGGAGGAGGTTCACACGCGTGCGCGCTCTCACCCATAATTCTATGCGCCCCGCCCTGCGCATGTGTGCGTGACCCCCCCCCTGCTCCTGGCACGCGATAGTCTGGTAGGCCCATTTTTCTTTCTCACCTGGCTCCAGACCCTCTCTATGCATCTGGGAAGGGCGAAAACAGCATCCCCACCCCCTTGCAGGCCCTCCGGAGGCCCGAAATGGCCCGTTTCCCAACTTCCAGTTGGACAGGAAGTGACATTTTTTGCTAGGAGTCTCTGGAGGCTGGGGACAGCAAAAAAGGCTGTTTTCGCTCTCCCCAGATGCATAGAGAGGATCTGGAGCCAGGTGAGAAAGAAAAACAGGCCTTCCCCACCCACCCCCAGGCCCTCTGGAGGCAGGAAACAGCTTGTTTCTCTACTTCTGGTGGGCCCAGAAGGCCCGAAAATCAGCTGGCTTGCGTGCGCATGTGCACCGGAGCTGAGCTGGCATGCCCACTGATATGGCTACACGTGCCACCTGTGGCACACATGCCATAGGTTTGCCATCACGGTTCTAGGCTATCTTCCTTTTTAGCTCATTAGGACTGAAATTTATTTTTCCACTTTTCCATACTGAGATCTGAAGCATTCCAAAATTCAGTTCTCAAAAGATTCTTTGCAGCACACAGCTGCAATGTGATCCAAGAAAGATGTGACTTCTTAAATAAGTTGCAGACAAGTCCTATGATCATGCTCCTGCATTCTCCAAACCAGCTTTTGGGAACTGAATCCAAAGCACTGCCCAAACATACAAATTTTTTTAAAATGATTTAAAATGTATGTTTTGTACACTTAAATGTTGTACGCTTTGCTAGTGTGTCAAATAGTTAAGAATGATTGTAACTACACATATTTGGATTTACAGCCCATTTATTTGAACTGAAATAAAAATATTCTGCTTCAATAGTTCATGCATTAGTCAATAGAGATCTTTCTATCTATCACTGATTTCAGTTGTAGCCTGGCTTATTTTTATCTTCAAAGAACTGTTTAGCAACCTACATAGTGAAAATGCAAGATGTTTTTTTTTTCTTTAAATGCATCCATTTGTCCTGTTTAAGGTTTCAGGTTCTGTATAACTATACTCCTAGGAACGAAGATGAATTGGAGCTGAGAGAGGGAGATGTCATTGATGTGATGGAAAAATGTGATGATGGATGGTTTGTGGGTATGTTTTCCATAATTTTAGTCGTGCCTTTACTAGGATATATAAATACCATTTGGCTTTCCTAGCCTGATGCCCTCAATCTGAATTACTCCTACAATCTCAGAATTTCTACCCAACAGGGTATTTAGAGGGTAACATTTTAGGGAACCCACTGGTTTATTACCACTGGCAATTTTTTATTCAAAATTATTGCAGGATTGCATGTATTATGTCTAGTTTGCCAGCCATAAAAAACATTCTTGAGATGTTCCCCAAAATCTTGTGTCATAGGCCATTGATTCTTTCACATGTAATATAATCACCCCTACCTTGCTATTCTGCAATATAATATTTGCAACAAGATTTCCAGATCTTGTTGGAAATATTATAGTTTCTATACCAGAGCAAATCTTTTTCTTTTGGTGTGCTCCCTAAATCAAACATCATTGTGCCATCTTTCATACCCATTTGGATCTACACTCTAATACTAGAGGATATCCAGCAATAAATGATGTTTGTGGTACGCAGTTCAAGCATGAGGAACTGATTAGCAAAAAATCCATACTGCATGAGATCTGCCTATATTGTGGTATGTTCCTTTTTATGTGTGAGCAATTTCCTGCACTATAAAGGTAACCATATTATGAGACGTGTCAAATGTTTGCCACCACCATGCTCTAAACCTTGACATAGTAAATTTCTCCATTAAAATTGATGGAGAAAGTATCATTCTCACATGATGTACTCATAAGCTGAGAGAACTATCTCATACTAATGGGTGATTAAGGATTCCCTTTTTCCTATTGAATCTGATGTACAAAATGCCTGCATAAAAAGCTGCTATGTTGGAATGAAAATACTTAATAGAACATTCATTTGATAAGTTGTTTTATTTGCAAATGAATGATTGATTCAATATTTATTGAAGCCTAATATTTGATATTGTAATTTGACTGCTGCTTCCTTAAAAAACCCCTATTCAAAAAACAGTACTTCGTTAAAAAGTTTTCTTTGGTGTTATAACTGCTAAACAGACAAGATATATTTTAATGTTTAACTTTGATTTGTCTTTTCAGCAGTGGGAGTTAACTCAGTAAAACCTCAGTAAAACCTATTATGATAGTATTACATTATCTACCATGATTACATTTTTCATGGCTATGGTATTATAACTTAACTTAAATTCTATGGCTATATAATGCAATACTCCATATTTTCCTATTGGGATGGCATTAAATATATTCATGAACAATCCTAAAATGAAATGTAAAGGCTGTCTTTAGAGCATGAATATGTTACTCTTGCTACCATGTTTCATTTATTACTTCTACTTTCAGGAACCTCCAGAAGAACAAAATTTTTTGGTACTTTCCCTGGAAACTATGTCAAGAGGCTGTGAAATGATTATTTGATTTTGTTCCTTTCTTATTTATGCTGCATCTCTGCCACACATCTGCATAAAAAGTGCTAGAAAACATCCTCCACCAGCCTTCAGTTTTCCTGCTTTGCAAATCCAGGTAGAAATCATGCCGCTCATCTTCACCATCTTCATCCCATCTGCCAGCCAGCAGTATTATTCAACAGCTAAAATGGAATCCCTGAGCTTTTGTGAAACAAGAGGAATTAGTTCTATGCGAAATACATCTTTTTATGCCTTTAATTTTTGTCTGGCAATGCCAATTTGGAAAGCGCATATAAAAAGCTTAATGGAAGAAATAGCATGGCACTTCAAAATGTTACCAGTTATTTGGGGGAAATTGCAATAGTATCCATATGAAAAAAAATATCTATTATCACCTAATATATAGAACAGGTTGCAATTTACTACATTTTAATGGGTTTCCTTTCCTTTTTTTTTTTTTTGAGTTATCACGTTTGTAGCTCAGCAAATGTATGTTGCTGTCAGTTTGCTGTGTCACAAGTTTGCCTCTTCTTTTACCCATTTGCAAGATACAATTAGTACTAAAAATATTTTTTTTTCCAAATGTATATTGCAATATCTGCAAACGCCTGTAAAAAATTAAGCAAAAATAATCAAAAGGAGTATTGATGCTAGAATACTTCATTAAGCCATGATTTCCAGTTGTATCTCATAAGACATTTTATTAGAATTGGGCCAGTGAGGGTCATACATTAGTTAAAAAATTTTTTCCAAAACAGTAAGAGCTTTAGACATGAATTTAGTAAGTACAGAAGCATGAATTAGATTTCCTGCACCTGCATGTATTAATATATAAAGTACAAAAACTTGCATCTCTTTGTAGGAAGCATCAGAAGCTTCCAACACAGTGATGTCTCAATAGGGGAAATGTATCATATGCTATTGATATATGCAACTACAGGAAACTTGAGTTGGATGTACTTTCTATGTTCATGTAATTAATGTCTTAAATTAAGTGGAGAGACATGTGTGCATGTCTCTACAGGATGAAATGGATGGTTCTAGTGTAGTTACAACATACATATCTCTCTAGAGGAAAAGAGGGAGTACTATCATATGTGTAAGTACAGCCTGTATCCTGTACTTACACCTATTTTTAACTCCTGGAACTCATAGAAAGGAAATTATGTCTGCTATTTGATATTAGGAAAGTTCAGAAATACTGGAAAATCATGAATCATTATGAAGCAAACTAACAATGAATAAATATCTGCTTTATAAAAATGTGTTGGAAGTGCAATAGAGTATGTAAAGTCTAATTCATTTATTACATGAAAATTCAGTAATGAAAGAGCAATGTTTATATTCTGTTTGATTGTAGCACAGTCACAGTAGAGTTGGGGAAATCTACACAAAGTATTATATGATGCTATTTTTTGGCTAGTTGACCGGAACTGTATTTTCTTTCTAGAAACATAGCATTAAAACAAGGACGCAAAAAGGAAAATTAGTACATGTGGATGGAGTTTCATTTTTGGAACAGTATAAAATATTGAAGGCAATATTTTGTGTGCGTGTGTGTGTGTGCAAATATAGACAGCAGTAGCAGGTGATAAAAACACAGGACTTAACATATCTATGATGTTATGTAAAGCAGTCCAGGTTTGGTTTTGCTGGCACCTTACAAAAAGCAAAACAGAAAATCTTTTACTGCATTTCTATTGTGGTAAAGGACAGATCTCATAAATTTGTAGGCTTGTAGCATTTTGTACATATATTTCCTTTTTTTGTACAGAGCCATTTTATTGTTGATTTTTTTTAGGGAAAAAAATCATGTTAATCAACTCATCCCTTTTCCAACAATAAAATCACCTCCTTATTTCGTTAGTTTCTCCTCCAAAGTATAAGCACACTTGGATAGTGCATTTCTGCTAAATTAGCAACTGAAGCAAAAGTTTTATGAATAATATTATGGTTTACCAGCCAAATTTTTAAAGTGTATATATATGTTTAATATGGAAAAATATCAATAGGATGGCAAAAGAAACATCTTTGTGCTGCGTACCTTTATTACTGCAAATTTCATGGCAAAAGCTTGATACTTCCAAGGCTTTTTACTATAAACTAAATGTGCATGCAGCTTTGCTGTAAAATCAGTAATGATTTTGATGCCATTTATGATGGAAGACTTGTCTATCACCGGTAGTATTTTAAAAAATGCACTGTTTCTATCCTGTATCTGATTTTAATAGAAGATGTTTTTCATACCTGTTTTCAGGTAATTGACTCTGAATTCTTACTTGCAAAGGATCTCTGTGTTTCTTTTTCCTTGAAGAGACTTCTAATAAAAATGGCTTGAAGTACATGAGTGCATCTTGTTGGTATCAAATGGTAGAGCATTGCCCATTAAAGTTTAATCAAGCGTGGTTTGAAATGTTGAATGTAATCATTATTCCAAAAATTAGCAAAGGAAAATTGGAAAGTAGAGATTCCTTTTATGAAACCAATGGAATTTCTAAGTATTTTGTAACTCAGATACATGTGCAAGCCAGGTAAGAGGTGGGCCAACTCTGTGCTACTTATAATAGCCCTACACAAGTTTTTGGATTGTTGGAGAATAACATAAATTCCAGAATTTTTTTCTGCATATGCTATTTATGAAAATGTATTAACAATAGAAAACAAGATCATAGCAACATTCCAATATAATCAGGAAAAATGGTTGGCTAGTGTTACCTATTTATTGATGTATTTTCATTCATTCACATATACATTTTTTTTTAAAAGTATAATGCTGGGCTACATATCTGGCAAGATAGTTCAGTCTGCAGGAAGCAAGCTTTCGGTAATGCCCAGACCCTGCCCTAGTTTTTATAAACAGTTCTAAGCAAAATGCTTATAGCAAATTATAGCAAATCCCACATAGAAAAGGACCATGGCTGATGTTCTCCTATATTACAATGCATATGCATGTCTGATTTTAATAGTGAGACAATGTACCCTAACATTCTGGTATCATTCGAAGACCACTCTATGAACTTTGTTGAGGGTTTTGTTCTTAAGAGAAACTGTTGTTCATCCTAGATAGCATTCTGTGTTCCTATGGGGGGGGGGAGAGACAATCTGGCCTTAACAGGCTTCACTCCAACCATCTCACTGAGGTGGCTTGTCTTAAGCAAAAGTACTGAAGCAAAATATCAGCACAAAATTAAGTGAGTGCTGTTTTCAAAAGATTCCTTTATGATTTTGGTTACTATAGAATCAAAGCTAAACTCTGTGTACAAGGTGGATCTAGTATGTACAGAATAGTCCTTCTCAAATTAGGAATGTAGTCAGGACCTAATTTCATAATTTTCTGTTAAAGCAGTGTGCTACTCAGTTTTTTTAAGAAAATACACCTGGAATTCCACAGTGTAGGAAATTACATAAATTCTCACTGTCACTATCAACTTTAAGATCTACCATAGAATTTTAAATATTCAGTGCTTTGCAATGGTTATTCATCAAATAAGACAAAACCCTCCAGTGGAGTATCACAAGGGCCAACCCCAGGTCCTCTACAATATTTTTATCAAATGTTTGGATGAAGAGATGGAAGCAATGTTTATCGATCTTGCAGGTGAGATAAAGTTAGGTGGGATAGCAATACTTTGGAAGACAGAGGGAAAAAACAAATCAGATTTTGAGAGGTTAGAGAAATTAATCTAAAAATAACACATTTAACACAGGTAAATTGCAGTTATAAAGTTCATCTGGAGAACAAAAATATGCCAATATAAGATGCAGGATATCTGGCTTGGCAACAATATTTGTGGAGAAAGGACTTGGATAATCTTGGGTTGCAAGTTGACTGTGAGCTAGCAGTGTGCAAAAAAGACAACTGCACTTTTAGATTGCCTTAACAGATATACTGTATAATTTCCCATTTATACTGGTCAAACATAATGTTGAACAGTGGGTCCAGAGCAGTTGGGAAATGAACTATCTCAGTTCCAGTACCATAGTTTAAAAAAAGGATTCAGAAGAAAATGGAACATGTTCAGAACATGGCAACAAGAAGATAGAAATGAACTTCTGTAAAGAGAGATTGAAGAAATTGAGTATTTTTGGTCTTGAGAAAATTAGGGGAGATGTGAGAGTCCTGAAAGGATAACTCACAGAAGATCATGACTTGCAGTCTTAAATTCCAGAACACAGGACACAGAATCATGGCTTTCAATTGTAAAAATAAAGATTCCTCTTGAATCCTTCCTAACCACATTTTGACAGTAGCACCTCCAAGGGGAAGTGATAGGTTTCTGTTCATGAAATACTTGGGGAATTTGATAGCCATCTGCACAGAATACTTCAATTTGATTTCTTGTAGTCTTCAGGAACTTAGATTTAAGGACCCTCTCAAGCTCTATGATTCTCTACCCTTCCTGCTGAAGTCCAGCCGTTAAGCAATCAACATTGTGCCTATTTCCTGTCAATAGAAATGCACTCCTTCCATGCTGAACCTAATCCTTCACCAAAGGAAGTAAGACCATACCTTTTTAAATAGATGTTTTCAATTATTTTTCCAGAATTCTTTTACTGTTTGGGATCTATTAGGTTATGAATTAGGTTTCAATCGTATGGGGTTTTTTTGTGTTTGTATATCACATATTCCTGAAAAATATAAAGCAAGTAAAATAAAATTATTTTTCTTCTGGTGTTTAATAAACTTGAAGAGGTGCTTTGTTCTGGCACTTTTGGCCTGGAAGTAGAACGTAAGTCTCTATGTTGCAAGCACAAGGGAAATGAACAGCAGTTTTCAAAGTTTAGGATGTAATCATTTGGAAAATATGCGCTCATGGTTCAAAGCCACAATCAAGTAATAGTTTTCCATCTGTGTTGATAACAAAGGGCTTCAGCCATTAACGTTGCTCAAGTGCCCTTCAGTGCTAGCCGATGAAGAAATTAACAATGGGAAATTAACAATCAGGATGGCTTTATGCATAATTCAGCATAAACTGGCCTATTTCATATTATCTGAAATGAAATAGTTGAAGACAGAAAACCCATTACACAAGGTGCTTTCTGGCTATTTTTAACTCCCTTCGAGATGCTGCAGATATGTAGTGGAGCTGCCTTGGAATTAAATAACATACAAAAGCATGGGATAAAAAGAGAAAAATATATCTAGCTACTGAATGTATTTTGGGTACTTTTTATCTCCTGAATAGTGTATAAAATCTGCATAATAATCGTGCATTGTGCCTCCAAGTGATGCCTATTTTTACTCTTTTTAACTGTACCTCATAAAACAAAAATTATTTCCAGGACCTGAAAACTGGCTATCAATTGCATGCTTCAAATACGTGGGAAGCAAATACTATTGAAATGGTTTCAGAGCCTCTCCAGTTAGGAACTATTTCAAGTTTAGATAGAGAGAGTAAAAAGTATGATTTATTCTTTAGATAAAAATCATTTTGGCTTATATGTTAAAAACAGAACTATACTTCAGACTAATCAGCAAACGAGCCAGTTGCATTTTTAAAAAGTACAAGGTAAGAGTAATCCTAAATGAAGGCCACATTAAGCTTGAAGTTCCACCTGTTTTTTATGTACACTGCAGCTGCCATTTGACTTTTTAAACCATACCCTATGGATACCCCTGAATATAATATTCAAATGTGTACACACACACGTATCAATTTAGTATCAGTCGTGTGCAACAGAAGGACCCTGGAGGTCTTCTAATCCAACCCCCAGCTCAAGCAGGAAACTCTATACCATTTCAGACAAATGGTTGTCCAATTTCTTTTTAAAAACCTCCAATATTGGAGCACCCACAGCTTCTGGAGGCAAGTCATTCCACTGATCAATTGTTCTGTCAGGAAATTTCTCCTTAGTTCTAGGTTGGCCCTCTCCAGAACAAGAAATCTTGTTCTGTTTCTTAAATAAATCCTAATTTTCTTTTCAGCAACTAGTTAGCACTTGCCGGCATAATATGTGACCGGATCCTTGGTAACTTTTTAAAAAAGTTTTATATAAAAATATATCAGTTGTAATTGAATATAATGAGGAAGTGGATTCCCAGGAAGGAAGGAGCACACTGAAGAGAAGTAATAGAAAACTCTTTCCAGGTATCAGGTGTGAGAGAAAGAGGGTAAAGACAGTTCCTTCCTAATAATTCCCAGTCTATATGTAAATGTAGATAGTAGAGTGCTTAGTCTGGCAAGATTTTGTCTATAGATGTGAAACAATAAAGAACTCTATTTGGAAGAATCACATGTCTTTCTTGGTTTGGGTCCTGACATCAGATGAAATGTGAGCTGCAATGATCACTCTAGAGCAGTTTTAAAATATTAAAAGGCTATGTCTTCTGTGTGTGATACTAAGAGACCCCATGGGAAAGCAAAACCTTTTACAATGAGATGCTATAACTCCAGAGCCCTTCCGCTTGTTGCCTCTTTTTTGTCCTCAGGAGCTCCCAGTGTTGAACCAATGAAAATGAGGAAGATGCCTCCATGTATAGGCATCTTCATGTACAGTTGGAGCAGCTTCTCACAAATGACTGTCCTCAGGTATGCTGCTGGTCTATAACCATAATAAAGATTGAATGATTTGAGTATCCTCCAACTCTTTGAGGATAGCAATGCCTAAGAATTGTCTAACCAGCCCTAAAGTTAAAGCAACTCTTAAAGTCCTCAGACACAAAGGAAGCGTTAAAATCAAGCTTCAGCATTTGAACAATGTCTTGAAACAGACTGACAAGTAGAACAATCTAAGGAGCACTTGAGAAATAATTATACAATAGGATAAACCAATCACCAACACTGTTGTTGAAGTGAATAGTCCTCAAAACATCTACTGAAGGTTCCTTAAGCACACTTGGCACATTTCTGATGACTCTTAATTATTATTGAAAGCTTTTTTATAGTTGCGCATAACAGAATAGAAACATGAATGGGGAAAAAAGGTCTATACAGATAGTCTTCAACTTACAACCATTCCTTTAATAACCATTCAAAGTGATAACAGCACTGAAAAAATAACTTCTGACCATTTTTCACACCTACGACCCTTCAACATCCCCATGGTCATGTGATCAAAATTTGACACTTGGCAACTGGCTCGTATTTATGAGGGTTGCAGTGCCCTGGAGCGGGGTCATGTGATTACTTTTTGCAACCTTCTGACAAGCAAAGTCAATGGGGAAAGAAGATTCACTTAAAAACTGTTACTAACTTAACAACTGCAGTGATTCACTTAACAATTGTGGCAAGGAAGGTCGTAAAATGGGGTAAAACTCGTTTAGCAACAGAAATTTTGGGCTCAATTATGGTCATAAATTGAGGATTACCTTTAATCATAAACACTAGATTTTCTTTCATGGAA